TTGAAGCGAGTGATGTTGATGATGGTCCTGATGATGAGTAAGCAACGGTGTACTATATTGTAGCAGACTCATATGCAACCACCCTTGTTTCGGTCTACAATAAACAAGACTTAAGTTTCTAACACGAATGTGATAAAAAATAGTTTTTGACAGTCTAATTGTGTGATCTTATCAAATATTAATATTCATCATGCAACAGATAACTGCATTTTATCATATAATGGGTAGGTTTCTCGGCAGGATAAAGCCAACGGATAAAAACGATATCCGTTGGGGTCATATGCGGATAGAGATGCAAATATCAAAGGTCAAGTAGGGACTACTTTCACTGTTTATAAACAAACATGGCGTCGCCCTCATCATTCGGCGATCGAGTCAGAATTAACCATCGGGAATCTGGATAAACTACAGGGATAATTGCTATCATTATCAAAAGAACAGTCTAATATACTGAAATCAGTCTCTAACTGTGACGTAGCTAAGGCATTTTATGAGTTTGGGCAACTTTAGATATATAAATTTCGAAACAATTTTGCGAGGGCACGAGGCCTAGCCAAGCGGGATCAGTAGCCATATCTGTGCTTGTAGACCTCTGCGGCTTGAAACCTTCTCCACAAATTAAAATAGTTGGATTTGTCCGAAATGTGTTTGAATTGTTACCTTGTTTCGTTTTGTCGCTGTGTGTACATCTGACTACACTTCTTATCGTTATGACAGGACAGACCGACTGTCAACAACGACTGACCGTGGCCGTGACGTCTCATAGACTAAGGTTAGAGTAGCTTCCCTTTGACAAAGGGCAGTTACTCTGGCGGACAGACAGATGGATTGCCGCGAAAGGCAATTAAAAACAATTGTTGTTTTGCGTATATGTTGCTTCGCCACTGTATAAGAAACAGATTTCAGTTGGAACTATATTGGCTACTGTCACTGTCCGACTGACACATCACTTACCCTGTGACGTAATAAATATTAATGCGCGCATTCCAGAAAAACTCGCAATGTTTCGGTTATGTATGTGAGAGAGGGAAAGCGATTTTGAAGCACAGAATTAAAGAATGACATTATATGATAAAGAGGTTATCACGCTTGTGTGTTTGGGGATGGTAAATATCCTGTATTAGGAATAAACACTATGTATTTAGCTCGCCAAGGCTCGCTAAATACAATGTTTATTCCTAATGCAGGATATTTACCATCCCCAAACACACTCGCGTGATAACCTCTATTTATGCTATTGCGGTTAGCATATCCAATTTGCCCCCAATTAGACCTTCAGTTTAATCTTGTGAGCCCCCAAAAAAGAACAATGTATCTTCAAAACAACTTCTGACTACATTTAGCACATGGCCTTTATAATTTGGAGTTGAGAGTTATAACTTCATGTGAACTTATTTAAAGCAGCCCAGCCTCATACAATTTTACGTCCTTTTAGCGCATGATGACATTTGGTGTTTAAATGAATCAAAAACCGTTCTGTACCACCCAATAAAAGACAATAAAGTTCCTCTTATCAGACTTTTAATAGACTAAGGTACTTCTTGGCTTCGATCATAGCCAAATTGGGTTAAGAAAGTCCTATTGGTGTGGCATCTACAATATATTTTCTGGTAGGTGGTAATATTTTAAGCATAGGTCAAATTGTGTGACCTTTTGACCTCTGGTGACCTACATTTTCACTGTATTAGTCCTATCTTACATACCAACATGTAGAGCATCAGGTTACCAACATTTTGAGTGGTCATACTTTAGCATATGACTATTGCTTGTAAAGTTATTCCACTTTCTGGTTTCCCCTACCCCGAAATCTAGTCCCGTAGATTCGACTCAGGAGTCCCCCTTTGTGTGGTGATTACTACCACTAAGCTGTAATTCCTGGATTGCTTTCAAATATTTCTTTTCATCTATGGACTTTCAAAAGATCATACTGAGATTTTGCCACCCCAGGTGGTACCAATATCTGGTCTGGCTCATGGACTATAAGCAGTGTCTTTCTACCAAGATTACAAAGAGCGTCATACGACTCTTGCTCGGAAGTTGTTTGATCAAAGTTACAACATGCAAGGTGTCAGTAAAGCTTTCAAAACATTTTATAGTAGACATGTTGAAGACATTTCCAAATTTGACGCATCAGTGACAAAAAATATGTCCAATGCAATTCCCTATTTTGACTTGTACCATATGTTTCCATGTTTTTTTCAGGTGAACAACTGACTTGCCCTTGTATGTGTTTGTAAGTGTATATTTGATGTCAGAAGACACAAGGATCATCCAACATCATTCTTCCAATTTTTTTCAGTTTGCAGACAGTAATAAGCAGTGTCTTAAGTGTAAAAAATACTGCTAACAGCTTCAGTAGCAGAGCCATAGTGATGTCATTTGATTGTGACGTCATGTAACAATGACGTTACAATGGTCTGCAAAGCATTGTTATGCAATTTCATTACAGCGATATCTACAATGTATATAGAGAGAATACTACACTCATTCTCGTCAGATACCATTTTTACGAAACGAGTGGACTTTCTATGTTATCTGACCGAGCGAAAGCGAAATATTTTAAATTTTAAAAGTCACAGAAGGGCCGCATTTGAATATCGGACCAACAGTGGGACACTCGCACTGCCGGGTCCCGGCTGTGCAATCAAAATGGTTCGGTTTCCTTGATCAATCAGCTGAATTTATATCCTGCCCATACCATTTTGGAAGAGAGAAATTAGAGTGTTCGCCAAAGACATTCATGTTAACAGTTCCACCCTATACTGTAGACGTGAAAATCAACACTCAAATCCGCTTGCATGGCAGTGACAGCTTCGAACAAAGGGCAAGGTCACCACCGAAATAAGAAAAGACAACCGTGATCTACTAACTGCTTTTACGCTAGAAATAGCGAATGATATTTTTTGGGCCACATAATCAGAAGAAGTCAGAGACCCTTCTACGGAGTTTTCGAATGAATTGTATCGGAAATGTTCACTTTTTGTGATCTGGTCGGGCAGTCGTGACCAAACAACTCGTGCCACAAAATACGCTTCAAAGAGGACACTGATGGCACAACCGGAGGATCCCAAGTAAGTCCAGATATCTGTCAAGATAAGTCTAAACTGACTTCATTTCACCAGGCTTATCTTTTTACGTTAAATCAAATTGAAAGTTGCGAAAGTGGTCGGGTGCGTCATGCTCATGGGGACCCTCGATAGAAGATCGTATATTGTAAATGGATACAGCTCGATAATATGTTTGTAGAAGCTCTTAGAATAACTGATATAGAATGCAAACCGAATTTGATGCGTTTCAGTTTCAGTTTGATAAAGTGTTTGTAAATATCTTTCGCTTTCATAAGATTGCTTCAGTTCTGCCTTGTAGTTGCAAAATGAATGACGTCTCGTGATTTTTTTATGAATGAAAAGGTAGTCCCGGTGTCACATAGGTCACGGTTATCCAATCAAATCGAATAAAACGAGGTCAACCTTGTGTGACACACGTGTGACGTACGGATTTAGTATCTTACCACCTGTATCTTCACCACGTGGGTAATAAATCGCTTGATCTCACCCAAGCGATATCTCCTGTGGGAGTCAGTTTTGGATGATAAATTAACATCAACAATATTTCAATTATGTAAAAGGTAATCAAAATCAAAATTTATATTGGAATCTAAATAAGAATTGACTTCAGATAGTTTGCGTTTATTGAGGTATAAACGTACAAGCGGTGACTGTACACAATTTTCATTGAATTACTCGATTTCTTTATCTGACTGAACCACAGAATGTTGCCTCTTACAGGGAAGGGCACTGTATCCGATGCGCCAACACACTCGCACGTAAGTGTAACTAGTTGTGATTGGATGATTGTGATTGAAGTGACTTTTGTTGTTTTGTGTTTATTGAGGTATAAACAAAAATTCTCCGGCTGCGATGCTGGACAGACTGCACGTGCCTGCATCAGCTCTCAACTCTATCCAGTCGTCTAAGGTGGGGTGATTCGCTGTGCAGGGTTGGGTCCCCTGGGCGCGCCAGAAACCTTTGAGTGTGAGTTCTATTCCCGATTCGCCCCGATTATGGTTCTAGGTTTGCCAGCACCATACCCGTGCTCGTGGGTTTCATCGAACGTCTGAGACCTGCATCACTTCGTGCTTTCCTCCCACATTAAGCTGACACGCCGTGATATAACTGGAATAATGTTGACTTGATGTTGATGCATGTCATCGTATCCCAATTGGATCGATACTCATGATATCAAGAACTGGATTGTCTGGTCCAGACTCGATCATTTACAGACATCCGTCATATAGCTTGAATATTGCTGAGTGCGGCGTTTAACAAACAAACAACAACAATAGAGAAACGCGTGTTTCCGTTTTGCCGTTGGTGCAATCGAAGCTATATTAAGTTGATATATACGTCAGGCAGGACGCAAAAGCAAGGAAGGAGAGCCTACATTTGGCGGTAGATGTTTACCAACAGAGGTTGGCGCTGACAAACCAGGAAACATGCATGTACATACTTCGCACGAATTTGTGTCTCAAACCCTTCACCATCAAAAACTGGCAGCCTTGAACAGGCTTAGACAATTGGGCCCATCCATGCCCTTCTGTGATCTAACAAATGTATTAAAGGATCTACCAAGGGTATTAAAGAATCTACCAAGGGTATTAAAGGATCTAACAAATGTATGAAAGGATCTAACAAGGGTATTAAAGGATCTAACAAGGGTATTTAAGGATCTAACAAGGTATTAAAATGTCTCAGATTGAGGTAACGTCCCAATCACTGACCTTGACCTTCAAAATCAGCAGATATAGTAGGTGCAGATAGGAAGCCTGTTCCACTTGTTGGTAGCTGCTTGAGGAGGCAGAGTGACGCTTAAACGCCCCGTCCATCTGCTTTCTAAGACTTAAAGTACAGATAACAGAGTGGTGGTTACAAATATACAAGACGTCACAACGCGATAAACATAGCTCCAACCCTTGTTAAAACAATGACACTGCTACATGATTACAAGTATCTATTGGGTTTAGCAAGTCGGTAGGTGTTCATGGTTCTCAAAACGCACGAACAACGAGGATTCAGATAATGACATGACCTTCGCTTCCATTCCTCATCTGACGGATGAAAGTTTTCTATTTTATCTCCCCACGCCACCACAACAATCCCGTCCCCAGGGGAGGCTGACGACGGTTGGCCACCTGCACCGACCGTCACATTCACAATCTCTTCTGGCTTCACGGGCATCCAGCGTCTCCTGGAATACCCCCCTGCCCCGCCGCTCCCCCCTGACAGACTTCCAGCACCCCCGCCATAGTCCGACCCGCTCAGACTTGTCCGGGTGATGGCCCAAGGCCCAGAACACGCCCCCGAGAGCACCGTACAGTTAGTTGCCACGCAGTCCGTGGTGTTGCCGTAGCCCCCGGCGCCACAGAAGGGGCAGTCTGTAGATCCGATGACGCAGGCAAATGGATATCTCTCAATTTGTCCAGTCGCTCCGCCGAACCAGCATGTGCCATTGTCCCCGCCTGGACCACCATTGTGGCTATATCCCCAACCGCCTGTGCCGCCTGAGAAACAAACCATGTCACTTACACTACAGGCCTTAAGTGCCATCAACTGAGAATGTCCTCGTACAATTTTAATGAGAAGACACTAAGGTACCAGACTTTTGCATGTCCAACATGATACAAATGGTCAAATTGAAAAGTAAGGACATTTTCTCGCGAAAGGCAGAATAGGTCTATATTACCCTGTAAAACCAGACATTAGAGTGAGTGAGTATGGTTTTACGCCGCTTTTAGAAATATTCCAACAATATCACGGCGGGGGACACCAGAAATGGGCTTCACACATTGTACCCATGTGGGGATTCGAACCCGGGTCTTCGGCGTGACGACGAACGCTTTAACCACTTGGCTACCAAACCGCCCCAACTGACATTAGACGTTAGACGATTACACTGAGTAACGTTTGTGAGTCAGCCTGTTTTAAATACTCCTACCACGATGCGGGATGTTGCTCATGCTAACAACCACATTCACAGATGTCTACAAATATTCTTTTGTCAACAATAATTAACCACTTTGCACACAAATTCCTGATTTCTCAAGATCAAATTCACTTAGTCTACACTAACATGTCTAAATTTGATTTTCATTTTTTTGTCATGGGTATGCGTTTCAACAACTAAATTACAAAGAGAAGGTAAAAAAAAGAGAAAAGTCAAATTTTGCTGAACTGCACCGTCATGTACACGCGCGGCTGCAAGGATATGTACAGGTATCTCTGAACGAAACTTAATTTGTATCAATATGTCCGAGTGTTGTGTTATCATTTAGTCCATTTATAAGCTATGGTGACGAGATATGACGTCATACACACTGTCTCACCATGCCGAGCTGATCCGCCGCCTCCTCCCAATGCTTCCAGGCGACCAGCGAATACTGATGTCCCTCCGTCCCCTCCACGCCTCCCCCGTGAGAACCCTCCTCCCCCACCCCCAATGCAGATCACGTCCAGAGTCCGTATTCCCGGGGGAACCAAAAATTTAGAGGTGACGTAGAACTTGACGATTCCACGAGAAAAGGTTCCATGTATTTTGTAGGGCATGTCTGAAAAACGCACAGTAAATAAGTATCATTAACAATGATATCAGAAATAAAACACTGGCTATCATATTATTAGTACCTTTGCGGGCACAACAGGGCACCTATTAGAACTAGTAACTCGTAACCAAAACGAGTAAAATTAACAAGTAAAACCTCGGCATCTTTAATATCGATACGTGTATACTATTGATACTGTTAGAGGACAACTATAACATCTCTTCTTGTGATATTGACTCTGACAGTGTGTCAGTTCGTAATACAGAATACTATTGTGGTGTGACAAAATGTCCAACTGAAGAGGTTACATTCAGTCCCCCTGGACAGTACCAAACGTTGGACAATAGTTCCATCCTGTCCAACATTACCATAGCTACATATAGTCCTCATCATGTCGTTCCAGTAACGTCTTTTCATCATAGTGTCAATACACTCTGGTCTGAACATTGCAAATAGTCTACCTAACTGGTCCACTTGGTGAAGAATGGGAATAGAGAGTTATATGTTTACAATTTAATGTTTTTTTTATGGTAGAGACTGCCATAAATATATTTGAAAAGTCCAAAAGAGGATTCAAGGAATATATCATACTATTCTTTAAAAAAATTATATTACATTTGTATATGCGACCTTGCAATGAGCCAATCAAACTGCATGCGTGTTGTATAAACAACATCTTCTATAGACCGGACCATGTGGTGTCTTCTCCGCGAACACCTAGTACCATCATTATTTGACAATGAATAATAAACACATGGTCATGATATAGTCGGAGTCGTATAATCGACTCTGAATTCTTATGTATTTGGAAAGGGTTTTGTCGCTTTTGTTCTAATACGAATACACTGTCTGTACACAACAGAACCGAGGTCGACCACCTTACCCCACTGACACATATATTCTTCTGCCCACTTGCCGGTCGACAAGCACATGTTCTCATCGGGATGCAGTGGAATGTCGTGTTCTGAATGGTGTGTTGTTATGCCTTTCGTAAGCCTGAAACCAACGTTGCAGGTCACATGGATCTTGAACGTGATGGGCACATAAGAGCCAACGGTGACGTTGTGAACTGTGCCGTTGCCGAGGGAGGGTATTCGGCAGAAAGCTGTGGAGGGAAGATGATTTTGATACATATATGGTGTCCACTAGTGTGGTCGCTTTATAGTAAAGTTTGGGATTTGAACACATGTTAAATAAAGAGGACTAGGGATTCATGCATGAAGGCTGCGAGAGAACTCACTCTACAGATCTCAGACTATAGGTCGAAGGAGTTGCGTCCCTTGATTGGGGTTTGGATGAGGACACACATCAAGCAGACGACACAGGACACGGGGAAGACATACACCAGGAGAGGGGGCACAGATAAACTAGGAAGATATATATCATACATCAAGAAGAGAACATAACAGGAAATGTCAGAATAACTACACATCAACAGGGAGACACTCAACACGAAGAAGAGCCACACATATCAAGAGGAAGACACCCAAGAGGAAGAAATACACCAAGAGAGGGGGCACAGATAAACTAGGAAGATATATATCATACATCAAGAAGAGAACATAACAGGAAATGTCAGAATAACTACACATCAACAGGGAGACACTCAACACGAAGAAGAGCCACACATATCAAGAGGAAGACAAGCTTCAAGAAGAGGACACATATCAACAGGACACACAGCAAGATACTGACTGACAGAGAGGAAGACACACCAAGAAGAGAACACATATCAAGAATAGAACACATATAAAAAAAACACATATCATGAGGAGGCCACACATTAATGGTAAATATAACACGTCAACGCCAGAGAAAAGTCACACATCAAGCAGATGACACAGGACAGTAGGGAGACATACACCAGGAGGAAGACACACATCAAGAGAAGACGCTTCTCAAGAAGAGAACACATATCATGAGGAGGCCACACATTAATGGAAAATATAACACGTCAACGCCAGAGAATGTCCACACATCAACACATCAAGGGAAAGAGACACTAAGAGGAAGAAACACAAGCGGAGGACACACGGCAAGAGAGAGACTCACAGCGAAGTGGACAAACATTAAAAGATAGACGCACATCAAGAAGAGGACACACAACAAGAATAGAATACACATCAAGAAGAAGACACACACCAAGAGGAGGACACAAACCAACAGGAGGACACACATTAATGGTAAATATAACACGTCAACGCCAGAGAAAAGTCACACATCAAGCAGACGACACAGGGCACTAGGGACACATACACCAGGAGGAAGACACACATCAAGCAGACGACACAGGACACTAGGGAGACATACACCAGGAGGAAGACACACATCAAGCAGACGACACAGGGCACTAGGGAGACATACACCAGGAGGAAGACACACATCAAGCAGACGACACAGGACACTAGGGAGACATACACCAGGAGGAAGACACACATCAAGCAGACGACACAGGGCACTAGGGAGACATACACCAGGAGGAAGACACACATCAAGCAGACGACACAGGGCACTAGGGAGACATACACCAGGAGGAAGTCACACATCAAGCAGACGACACAGGGCACTAGGGAGACATACACCAGGAGGAAGACACACATCAAGCAGACGACACAGGACACTAGGGAGACATACACCAGGAGGAAGACACACATCAAGCAGACGACACAGGGCACTAGGGAGACATACACCAGGAGGAAGACACACATCAAGCAGACGACACAGGGCACTAGGGAGACATACACCAGGAGGAAGACACACATCAAGCAGACGACACAGGACACTAGGGAGACATACACCAGGAGGAAGACACACATCAAGCAGACGACACAGGACACTAGGGAGACATACACCAGGAGGAAGTCACACATCAAGCAGACGACACAGGGCACTAGGGAGACATACACCAGGAGGAAGACACACATCAAGCAGACGACACAGGACACTAGGGAGACATACACCAGGAGGAAGACACACATCAAGCAGACGACACAGGGCACTAGGGAGACATGCACCAGGAGGAAGTCACACATCAAGCAGACGACACAGGACACTAGGGAGACATACACCAGGAGGAAGACACACATCAAGCAGACGACACAGGACACTAGGGAGACATACACCAGGAGGAAGACACACATCAAGCAGACGACACAGGGCACTAGGGAGACATACACCAGGAGGAAGACACACATCAAGCAGACGACACAGGGCACTAGGGAGACATACACCAGGAGGAAGACACACATCAAGCAGACGACACAGGACACTAGGGAGACATACACCAGGAGGAAGACACACATCAAGCAGACGACACAGGACACTAGGGAGACATACACCAGGAGGAAGACACACATCAAGCAGACGACACAGGACACTAGGGAGACATACACCAGGAGGAAGACACACATCAAGCAGACGACACAGGGCACTAGGGAGACATACACCAGGAGGAAGACACACATCAAGCAGACGACACAGGGCACTAGGGAAACATACACCAGGAGGAAGACACACATCAAGCAGACGACACAGGGCACTAGGGAGACATACACCAGGAGGAAGACACACATCAAGCAGACGACACAGGACACTAGGGAGACATACACCAGGAGGAAGATACACATCAAGCAGACGACGCAGGACACTAGGGAGACATACACCAGGAGGAAGACACACATCAAGCAGACGACACAGGACACTACACGGATAAACTATGAACACATATCAAGAGAAGACACTTATCAAGATGAGGACACATATCAAGAGGAAGTGACAGAGAATAACCAAACATCAACAGACAGCCACACAACACGGCGACACACACATCAAGAGAGAGACGCACAGCAAGGAAGACACACATTAAATGGAAGACACATCAAAAAGAGAATACATATCAAGAGAGAGACGCACAGCAAGGAAGACACACATTACATGGAAGACACATCAAAAAGAGAATACATATCAAGAGGGGGACACACATCAAGGTGAGAGACACTCACCAAGACGAGGAAACACATCTAGAGGAAACAAACATTAACAACACATCATGCGTAAGACACAGAACACGAGGAAGACACACATAGACAGGTAGGCCAGAGATCAACAGGGGGACACACTTCAAGAAGCAGACACACATGGAGAGACACGGCTGGACAATGGGCACGACTGCGGGAAAGGACTGGATAAACCACGTGTTAGTCTCATTCTGTACATAAAAATACGCCATGATCCTACTCATTTCCATGTATTTCTCTCTTTCGGTGCAGTCCCTTCTACCAAAATGACACTCTGCACTGTCAAATCTCTCGCTAGGGGAATCACACACGGCGCCCCGAGGGGTGGGAATGCAGATGGTATGCGTGGATAAGGTCCAGGTTCCATGGCGTGATCTGGGGTCTTGACAGCGGTGGCGTTGACATGCAGATGCTGCAACGGAAGATGGATCATGTAAGTGATTCTGACCAGACAGAGATGACATGAACCCTGCTGTGTATGTACGAGTATACCACAAAAGGTTCTAATGCACTATCTACCGGTCCTACTATATAACGTCCGGAAACGTCTGGGAGCGTCCGGGCAACGCATTATTGAACTCCCGGACGTCTTATAAAACCTCCCATACGCCGCTCCTTGACGTTTCCGTGCGTCCTCGGACGTTCCCGGGCGTTAATCCCCCTCCCAAAAGAAGTCCATTTCCAGCAGCAAGCACAGATTGAAGGATGTAAGTATGAACGCTGGTTGTTTCTGTAGTGTTTCTTTAACAGTAACGGCTGACTGGTGTTGAGGGGATTGTTTAACTTCGCAAACAGGGGCGGTCGGGTAGCCTAGTGGTTAAAGCGTTCGCTCGTCACGCCAAAGACCCGGGTTCGATTCCCGACATGGGTACAATGTGTGAAGCCCATTTCTGGTGTCCCCCGCCGTGATATTGCTGGAATATTGCTAAACGCGACGTAAAACCATACTCACTCACTCACTCCCAGCTACATCATTTGGGCCAGATAAACCAGTGGTTGATATGATTGACGTCACTGTACATGCAATAAGCGGTATATTCGTTACGGGGTTGTATTTAAAGAATTTTACAATTTTAATTTTTTTTATTACACTATTACAATTTCTTTGCAGTTCTCATTGTCTTAAGAGAAACTGGTAACTATTGTAATAATCCTACAAATCAAAGATTATGTCCAGTTTGTGAAGAGCCGTAAGTAGAAGATGATCTCTTTACGATCTGTTTACAAATACAAATTCCTCCGTGTTTAATAATTACCTAGATAAGTATTTGTTTAACCAGCACAACATCAATTTCATGTACTTATGCCACTAAAAATACTAGTTTGTTTATCATGTCCAGTGCACATCAGAATCAGACAGTAAAGGTCTATAAGGTCTTGTTGTGCCCTTGACCACATGTCTGACCAACACACTCAATCACGTTTTTAACTGCAGACATCTTCCCGAGGCAAGCGTGTCCACTAGCCTACTTCAAAGCCTATAGTTTCTACCCTTGCCACATCAAGGCGTGTCCACTAGCCTACATCAAAGCCTATAGTTTCTACCCTTGCCACTTCAAGGCGTGTCCACTAGCCTACATCAAAGCCTATAGTTTCTACCCTTGCCACATCAAGGCGTGTCCACTAGCCTACATCAACGCCTATAGTTTCTACCCTTGCCACATCAAGGCGTGTCCACTAGCCCACATCAAAGCCTATAGTTTCTACCCTTGCCACATCAAGGCGTGTCCACTAGCCCACATCAAAGCCTATAGTTTCTACCCTTGCCACATCAAGGCGTGTCCACTAGCCCACATCAAAGCCTATAGTTTCTACCCTTGCCACATCAAGGCGTGTCCACTAGCCTACATCAAAGCCTATAGTTTCTACCCTTGCCACATCAAGGCGTGTCCACTAGCCTACATCAAAGCCTATAGTTTCTACCCTTGCCACCTCAAGGCGTGTCCACTAGCCTACATCAAAGCCTATAGTTTCTACCCTTGCCACATCAAGGCGTGTCCACTAGCCTACATCAAAGCCTATAGTTTCTACCCTTGCCACATCAAGGCGTGTCCACTAGCCTACATCAAAGCCTATAGTTTCTACCCTTGCCACATCAAGGCGTGTCCACTAGCCTACATCAAAGCCTATAGTTTCTACCCTTGCCACTTCAAGGCGTGTCCACTAGCCCACATCAAAGCCTATAGTTTCTACCCTTGCCACATCAAGGCGTGTCCACTAGCCCACATCAAAGCCTATAGTTTCTACCCTTGCCACATCAAGGCGTGTCCACTAGCCTACATCAAAGCCTATAGTTTCTACCCTTGCCACTTCAAGGCGTGTTCACTAGCCTACATCAAAGCCTATAGTTTCTACCCTTGCCACATCAAGGCGTGTCCACTAGCCTACATCAAAGCCTATAGTTTCTACCCTTGCCACATCAAGGCGTGTCCACTAGCCTACATCAAAGCCTATAGTTTCTACCCTTGCCACCTCAAGGCGTGTCCACTAGCCTACATCAAAGCCTATAGTTTCTACCCTTGCCACATCAAGGCGTGTCCACTAGCCTACATCAAAGCCTATAGTTTCTACCCTTGCCACATCAAGGCGTGTCCACTAGCCCACATCAAAGCCTATAGTTTCTACCCTTGCCACATCAAGGCGTGTCCACTAGCCTACATCAAAGCCTATAGTTTCTACCCTTGCCACATCAAGGCGTGTCCACTAGCCTACATCAAAGCCTATAGTTTCTACCCTTGCCACATCAAGGCGTGTCCACTAGCCTACATCAAAGCCTATAGTTTCTACCCTTGCCACTTCAAGGCGTGTCCACTAGCCTACATCAAAGCCTATAGTTTCTACCCTTGCCACATCAAGGCGTGTCCACTAGCCTACATCAAAGCCTATAGTTTCTACCCTTGCCACATCAAGGCGTGTCCACTAGCCCACATCAAAGCCTATAGTTTCTACCCTTGCCACATCAAGGCGTGTCCACTAGCCCACATCAAAGCCTATAGTTTCTACCCTTGCCACATCAAGGCGTGTCCACTAGCCTACATCAAAGCCTATAGTTTCTACCCTTGCCACCTCAAGGCGTGTCCACTAGCCTACATCAAAGCCTATAGTTTCTACCCTTGCCACATCAAGGCGTGTCCACTAGCCTACATCAAAGCCTATAGTTTCTACCCTTGCCACATCAAGGCGTGTCCACTAGCCTACATCAAAGCCTATAGTTTCTACCCTTGCCACATCAAGGCGTGTCCACTAGCCTACATCAAAGCCTATAGTTTCTACCCTTGCCACTTCAAGGCGTGTCCACTAGCCCACATCAAAGCCTATAGTTTCTACCCTTGCCACATCAAGGCGTGTCCACTAGCCCACATCAAAGCCTATAGTTTCTACCCTTGCCACATCAAGGCGTGTCCACTAGCCTACATCAAAGCCTATAGTTTCTACCCTTGCCACTTCAAGGCGTGTCCACTAGCCTACATCAAAGCCTATAGTTTCTACCCTTGCCACATCAAGGCGTGTCCACTAGCCTACATCAAAGCCTATAGTTTCTACCCTTGCCACATCAAGGCGTGTCCACTAGCCTACATCAAAGCCTATAGTTTCTACCCTTGCCACTTCAAGGCGTGTCCACTAGCCTACATCAAAGCCTATAGTTTCTACCCTTGCCACATCAAGGCGTGTCCACTAGCCTACATCAAAGCCTATAGTTTCTACCCTTGCCACATCAAGGCGTGTCCACTAGCCCACATCAAAGCCTATAGTTTCTACCCTTGCCACATCAAGGCGTGTCCACTAGCCCACATCAAAGCCTATAGTTTCTACCCTTGCCACATCAAGGCGTGTCCACTAGCCTACATCAAAGCCTATAGTTTCTACCCTTGCCACATCAAGGCGTGTCCACTAGCCTACATCAAAGCCTATAGTTTCTACCCTTGCCACATCAAGGCGTGTCCACTAGCCTACATCAAAGCCTATAGTTTCTACCCTTGCCACATCAAGGCGTGTCCACTAGCCTACATCAAAGCCTATAGTTTCTACCCTTGCCACATCAAGGCGTGTCCACTAGCCTACATCAAAGCCTACAGTTTCTACCCTTGCCACTTCAAGGCGTGTCCACTAGCCCACATCAAAGCCTATAGTTTCTACCCTTGCCACATCAAGGCGTGTCCACTAGCCCACATCAAAGCCTATAGTTTCTACCCTTGCCACATCAAGGCGTGTCCACTAGCCTACATCAAAGCCTATAGTTTCTACCCTTGCCACTTCAAGGCGTGTCCACTAGCCTACATCAAAGCCTATAGTTTCTACCCTTGCCACTTCAAGGCGTGTCCACTAGCCTACATCAAAGCCTATAGTTTCTACCCTTGCCACATCAAGGCGTGTCCACTAGCCTACATCAAAGCCTATAGTTTCTACCCTTGCCACATCAAGGCGTGTCCACTAGCCTACATCAAAGCCTATAGTTTCTACCCTTGCCACTTCAAGGCGTGTCCACTAGCCCACATCAAAGCCTATAGTTTCTACCCTTGCCACATCAAGGCGTGTCCACTAGCCCACATCAAAGCCTATAGTTTCTACCCTTGCCACTTCAAGGCGTGTCCACTAGCCTACATCAAAGCCTATAGTTTCTACCCTTGCCACATCAAGGCGTGTCCACTAGCCTACATCAAAGCCTATAGTTTCTACCCTTGCCACTTCAAGGCGTGTCCACTAGCCTACATCAAAGCCTATAGTTTCTACCCTTGCCACTTCAAGGCGTGTCCACTAGCCTACATCAAAGCCTATATTTTCTACCCTTGCCACATCAAGGCGTGTCCACTAGCCTACATCAAAGCCTATAGTTTCTACCCTTGCCACATCAAGGCGTGTCCACTAGCCTACATCAAAGCCTATAGTTTCTACCCTTGCCACATCAAGTCGTGTCCACTAGCCTACATCAAAGCCTATAGTTTCTACCCTTGCCACTTCAAGGCGTGTCCACTAGCCTACATCAAAGCCTATAGTTTCTACCCTTGCCACATCAAGGCGTGTCCACTAGCCTACATCAAAGCCTATAGTTTCTACCCTTGCCACATCAAGGCGTGTCCACTAGCCTACATCAAAGCCTATAGTTTCTACCCTTGCCACATCAAGGCGTGTCCACTAGCCTACATCAAAGCCTATAGTTTCTACCCTTGCCACATCAAGGCCACTTTTCTTGGCTCGACCCTGGCGCCACCTCATGTAGGTCACGAGTTGTGCCGCTTGCAATGAAAACGCGATATCCAACCAGGTCGCTGTTCTTATCTCGTATAGCTCCACAAAATGGCGACTACCATAGGGGTTGACCTCGTCTATCAGATAACGAAACCATTCGCGATTTCATCCCCGACACAAAAACATAGGCAATCGTTAGGACATATTCGTGTCAACACAGGCAAGCAGCAGTAAATGACTTTCATACGAAACAGTCTTGGATGTTGATTTTGTGAAACGTTCTCTGATTGGACTATCGATATGTGCGATAGTCCAATTATATTTAGCAAAGGAAAGTGGACTCGACGTGGCAAGGTTGGAAACAAGACTTTGATAAAAAGGCTATTGGACGCTCTTGCCTCGGGAAGATGAACTGCAGATGGCCCACCAGTCTTGAATAAAGGGTGATATGCAATATACGCATTCATCTATTTCTCAGAGCCACATCCTACGACAAGCGTAGGTTACTTGGTAACAATTCCTTCCCGTAAATCCCCTGAGGCTGATGCAGGTTTCATCATGATTCTATACATGTTGCTTACTGTAGTTGAATTCGTCCGAAGCCACGTCCAGTCCTCCCAGGTTGAAGAAGCGCGAGCTGGGCATGTACATCTCCTGCACAATGGGGTCATTCAGAGGGGTCCTGTCATCAACAGTAACGGGATCAGAGTGAGGATTCTGGGGTATGCTTTGTTTGTTTGTTTTTTTGTTTGTTTGTTTGTTGTTTAACGCCGCACTCAGCAGTATTCCAGCTATATGATGTCGGTCTGTAAACAATCGAGTCTAGACGAGACAATCCAGTGATTGACTTCATGAGCATCGATCCACGCAATTGGGATACTATGACATACATCATAGAAGTAAGTGAGCCTGACCACCCGATCCCGTTAGTCGCCTGTAACGGCAAACATTGGTTGCTGAAGACCTATTCTTACCCGGATCTTCACGGGTCTTCTGGGCTATGCACTTCGAACGTATCAACTTTCTTATGTGTAAACCACACATAAAGATGTAAATCAAGCACCCATTTGTAACCATATATTTGGGATAACACTTTCTTCGCAAAGTACAGATTCTAGTACATTTTTGGTTGAGACCAATACGGGATTCGACCCCACATAGTGTATTCAACGCACCCATTACGTGACACCAGATTGTCTGTCGCAGTCTGTAGTTATATCCTGTCCAGTATTCAAGGAACCTTTCTATGTGCAACTGTACAATACACTGACTCTCTACCTCAGAACATATCGGGCACCTGTCTCCGTCCAGTACAAGTAGCCCCTGTGAACGACGACGTCAATGGGAGCTTGACGCATGTTCTCCACCAACACAGTACGATTCCAGGACGCCACCCTCACCTCCTCCAACGTCTGATACTTGGCGTCCGCCCAGATGACACCTAGAAGGGAACATACAAACATCGCGTCAGCGGGGAACAGTCTGGCTGTCCAGCAAAAGCAGTAGCTTCATCATAGATAACTGCATTGATCTACTGTATAGCATCTTCCCGAGGCAAATGAGTTAACTGACTTGAAAAGTCCAGTTTCCACCCTTGCCGAACAAGGCTGGAATTCCTGCGCTCGATCGTGGCGCCACCAGTGGGTATTACGAGTTATGTCCCTTCTAAGCCTCTCTTATGGACAATCAGATTCCACCTCTCGCATCACTTGCAAACAAACAATATGGCTGCACCCAATCTGATTTGATCGACAAGAAAGATATATATTGTGATAAAACGGGTCTTACATCGCGAAGGGCATCAAATCACACGAGCATCTTGATTAAAAACATGAAAAGATTTGGAAAATATCTATTGACAACGAGTTTGCGATGCACATGCTTTGCAAATCCTGCCATCGACCGAAATCTGCACAACAGTTTACGAACCGGATTTCGATTTCGTTGCGCGATTTTGATTCGACTATGCATAGACTCGTTTGTCCAGCTTAAATGTAACTTCATAATACTAGCCTAGTTCGACAAGGGTGGAAACTGGACTTTTATAGTCAGTTAACTCACTTGCCTCGGGAAGATGCTGTTTCGTAGCTGTGCTGAAAAAGCTGTAGGTACAACACGCTAATCTATGCTATGATCCTTTGTAGTGCTGCTTGTTAATATTACTGTGAAATATTTAAGAAATAAACGATAAGTGGAAGTTGTTCATCATACAATAACACACTGCAAGGAGTGGTTTATTCTTCCAGCAGTGTTTTATCGTATCGGCCTTTCATGTCCTGCTCTATCGGTAGCAGTCATAAACACCAGAGGGGCATCACATACTCCTTCAGAACTACAATGTGCTACACTCTGTTGAAGGTTGCCGAGTACCCCGTGCAGTACGTACTCTTTCAGAACTACAATGTGCTACATTCTGTTGAAGGTTGCCGAGTACCCCGTGCAGTACGTACTCTTTCAGAACTACAATGTGCTACATTCTGTTAAATGTTGCCGAGTACCCCGTGCAGTACGTATTCTTTCAGAACTACAATGTGCTACATTCTGTTGAAGGTGTCAGTGTACCCCGTGCAGTACGTACTCTTTCAGAACTACAATGTGTTACATTCTGTTAAAGGTTGCCGAGTACCCAGTGCAGTACGTATTCTTTCAGAACTACAATGTGCTACATTCTGTTGAAGGTGTCAGTGTACCCCGTGCAGTACGTACTCTTTCAGAACTACAATGTGCTACATTCTGTTGAAGGTTGCCGAGTACCCCGTGCAGTACGTATTCTTTCAGAACTACAATGTGCTACATTCTGTTGAAGGTTGCCGAGTAACCCGTGCAGTACGTACTCTTTCAGAACTACAATGTGCTACATTCTGTTGAAGGTGTCAGTGTACCCCGTGCAGTACGTACTCTTTCAGAACTACAATGTGCTACATTCTGTTGAAGGTTGCCGAGTACCCCGTGCAGTGCGTACTCTTTCAGAACTACAATGTGCTACATTCTGTTAAATGTTGCCGAGTACCCCTTGCAGTACGTACTCTTTCAGAACTACAATGTGCTACATTCTGTTGAAGGTTGCTGAGTACCCCGTGCAGTACGTACTCTTTCAGAACTACAATGTGCTACATTCTGTTGAAGGTGTCAGTGTACCCCGTGCAGTACGTACTCTTTCAGAACTACAATGTGCTACATTCTGTTGAAGGTTGCCGAGTACCCCGTGCAGTACGTACTCTTTCAGAACTACAATGTGCTACATTCTGTTAAATGTTGCCGAGTACCCCGTGCAGTACGTATTCTTTCAGAACTACAATGTGCTACATTCTGTTGAAGGTGTCAGTGTACCCCGTGCAGTACGTACTCTTTCAGAACTACAATGTGCTACATTCTGTTAAAGGTTGCCGAGTACCCAGTGCAGTACGTATTCTTTCAGAACTACAATGTGCTACATTCTGTTGAAGGTGTCAGTGTACCCCGTGCAGTACGTACTCTTTCAGAACTACAATGTGCTACATTCTGTTGAAGGTTGCCGAGTACCCTGTGCAGTACGTACTCTTTCAGAACTACAATGTGCTACATTCTGTTGAAGGTTGCCGAGTAACCTGTGCAGTACGTACTCTTTCAGAACTACAATGTGCTACATTGTGTTGAAGGTTTCAGTGTACCCCGTGCAGTACGTACTCTTTCAGAACTACAATGTGCTACATTCTGTTGAAGGTTGCCGAGTACCCCGTGCAGTACGTACTCTTTCAGAACTACAATGTGCTACATTCTGTTGAAGGTTGCCGAGTAACCCGTGCAGTACGTACTCTTTAAGAAGTACAATGTGCTACATTCTGTTGAAGGTTGCAGTGTACCCAGTGCAGTATGTACTCTTTCAGAACTACAATGTGCTACATTCTGTTGAAGGTGTCAGTGTACCCCGTGCAGTAGGTACTCTTTCAGAACTACAATGTGCTACATTCTGTTGAAGGTTGCCGAGTACCCCGTGCAGTACGTACTCTTTCAGAACTACAATGTGCTACATTCTGTTGAAGGTTGCCGAGTACCCCGTGCAGTAGGTACTCTTTCAGAACTACAATGTGCTACATTCTGTTGAAGGTTGCCGAGTAACCCGTGCAGTACGTACTCTTTCAGAACTACAATGTGCTACATTCTGTTGAAGGTGTCAGTGTAGCCCGTGCAGTACGTACTCTTTCAGAACTACAATGTGCTACATTCTGTTGAAGGTTGCCGAGTACCCCGTGCAGTACGTACTCTTTCAGAACTACAATGTGCTACATTCTGTTGAAGGTTGCCGAGTACCCCGTGCAGTACGTACGGTCTTTGTATACAGTGATGCCTCTGGGTTGGCCGAGGCCGAAAGCGACTTGTTCCAGGTTGGTACCGTCCATGTGCGACATCGTGATGCACTGCAGACGTTCCGTGACGTTGGTGCTGCCGTTGCGAACCTCGGTTTGCCCCGAGATGAACATCAAGCTGTACGAGAATCGTAAATGTAACTTATAGCTTTCTGACAGTACCGTGATTAGCTTGTATTTACAGCCCAATTATTGTTAGAAGTTTATATGTAGTATGGATTGTTTCTGATGTAAGCATTCAGAAGATCGGAGAAGTAAATAATTGGTGCATGAATGTTTCATTATGAAAACTAAATATGCTACATTTTTCAGACTCAACTCTTGACAAGACCCCCAGCTTACAGAATGACATATGTTCCATAAGGGTTAAATTATTACGTATTTAGAATTGGTTAATAGACATCCCTAACTGTCTCTGTACTTCTCAATGTGAAAACGTTGATCATTACTTAATAGAATATCCATTTTATCAAACTGCAAGAAATATAATGTTCCTTAGCATAACTGAAATTTGTAAAAAGAGGCTAGTCCCTGATATATATTCCTTGTTAAAGGGGAGCTCCCATCTCAGCTACGAGGAAAAGGTACAGCTGTCTCGCTCTGGTTATCAGTATGTCAACTGCACTAAAAGACTTAAATAAATGTATAACTCCGTTTCCTGCTGCTTCTCTCTGTATATACTCTGTCTTTTGTACATATTTAAATTGTTATATTATATATCGCTTATCATGTAAATATGTTGGAAGGGGGTAGCTAAGTTGTAAAGGATGCCCAATCCAATTCTTTTAATTAAAATGTTTAAATCAATAAGGATTGACGCAAGTGTGACAGGTTACCCTTGTTCTGGAGACAATGCTATGTCCTCTGCCTTTATGACGTCCCGTCCCAGGAGTTGTTGGTACACGCCAGTGACAACGTGCACAACACCGATGTTGCCGCGATTATCTACAAAATACACCAGCTTGGACGCCACGTCCAGGGCAATGTTGACCGGTTCTGAAGAACAACGCCAATAATAGATATTGAGTAACTGACAGTCAGAAGGACGATATAATATATCAATTGTAAAGTGCATGGACATTCCAAGATATTACCACAATGTGTGTGACTCATGAGAATCGTATGAATAATATGTAACCGGTGAGAACACTATCTTCTACACCACACGATATCAACCCATACACTATGCCGGGTTAAGACGAGCACACTATCTTCTATACCACGCCATATCAACCCATACACTGTCATCTATGCCACACCATATCAACCCACACACTATCTTCTATACCACGCCACATCAACCATACACTATATCAGGTTGGGACGAGCACACTATCTTCTATACCACACCATATCAACCCATACACTGTCATCTATGCCACACCATATCAACCCACACACTATCTTCGATACCACACCACATCAACCATGCACTATATCAGGTTCGGATGGGCGGGTCCAGACGCTGCAACATGGCGTGCAGAGCTGTGTCACATAGCAAATGGCTCATGGGTTCGAATCCAAGATCCTTGGTTTGTCAGCCTCGTAGGTTTAACCAATGTTGTAAACGTCTACGACCATTAAGTTAGCCTACCTGCAAAACGTTTAAATACTTAGTCAAATCAACTGACTTTCTGCAAAAGGACAGTAAACATAAGAGACAAAACCCTTTTCACAATCATAAGAAATCTCTGCTGAAAGCAGTGTCCTTTGTACGATCCCCACTATATAACAAACACTATATCATAATTATATATTAATCACTATCAAATAGTGATGATGACACCAGGTGTTCGCGAAAAGGTGGCACCCGTCACAAACACATACAAAGGCAAGTCAGTGGTTATCCTGAAAAAAACACGTGAGCATAAGGTACAAGTCATAAAAGGAAAATGCATCGGACAGAAATTTGGTCACTGATGCGTTAACTTTGGCAGTATCCTCTACCATAAAACCTTTTGAAAGCTTTACTGATGCCTTGAATGCATGCCATGCACCTGATGGTGTACTTAATGTACTTACTGACGATTTTGTCAGCATAGACGACGTGTTGATGGCTGCCGTTGAAGTAGGCGCAGTTGATGATGCCGACGTAGTCAGTCCAGTAGATCTGCGAAAAGACATCGGTATAAGTATGTCTGTTGTTGCCTGATACCACATAGTAATACTCCTGCTATGCAGTAGCCATGGTTGCTGGTCATCCCTGATAGGTTTTCTTCTACATGGGATGTTGACTTAATATCATGTTGAAATAACATCGTGTTATGAAGCGAGGGAGGGTTTCCTTCCCATCAACACATGACTTATGCTTCAGTCCATTATTTACTCCAGCGAACCCTTGTAACCTCTAACCTTTCCAGTTTAAGAATAGGACCTAAGCAGGTTATGCTGAGGGGCGACTTGACGACTGTCTGAGGAGCTGAGTAGGAAGTCAAGTGCATACTGATTTACTTTGAGCACGCCCCTGTTTGTAGTGGAAATATAGCGCATATTATATGACAATATTATCATCCTTTTATACAGATTAGAATAAAAAATGCAGCAAAGAGGTGATCCTGATACAGTCAGGCAGGTTAGGCTCATCATCAGCTCAGGGCCCTTGCCCCCTCTACACGCAGCCCAGACACCGAATGGGACTTCTCCCAGGAAGCGCTGCCTAGTCAAACCCACCCAGAACGTTTCGAAGAATGTGAAGACTCCCAAACACTACAGCTTTCTGCATTACCCAGATAGTCAGAAAGGCTGTATCCCTGGCAGCAAACCTGGTACTCTCCCAATGTCGGTCAACAGATTCGGATTTATTAATATCATTGCTATTATTGCTATTATCATTAATCACTGGATTAATCTGGTCTAAACTCTATTATTTCCAGGAAGCCGTCATACAGTCGGACTATTGCAGAGTGCGGCATTAAACAACAAAAAATCTTACCTTATTCCCCTCAGTGTCCACTGCGACGTCCTTCGGCTTCGACAGCGACTGCAGCGTGAACATGCCGTACATGTTGAGGATAAGGGACCCCTGATAAATGTTGTCGAGGCGTTCGTCAGAGAACACGAGGTAGGGCTCCATTAGGTGCGCTAGAGATACAATCCCAGGAGAGAGACACAAGGATCATAAGAAAATATACCCCAGAGGACAGGCACAAGTGTCATCAGAAGATATACCCCAGAGGACGGGCACAAGTGTCATCAGAAGATATACCCCAGAGGACAGGCACAAGTGTCATCAGAAGATATACCCCAGAGGACGGGCACATGTGTCATCAGAAGGTATACCCCACAAGACAGGCACAAGTGTCATCAGAAGATATACCCCAGAAGACAGGCACAAGTGTCATCAGAAGATATACCCCAGAGGACGGGCACAAGTGTCATCAGAAGATATACCCCAGAGGACGGGCACAAGTGTCATCAGAAGATATACCCAAGTAAGTAAGGAATAGTACAACTTTATGGATAACAACTTCTGGTTTATTGCATATAAGCACGTTTCCATGTAGATTATCAAGCTGTAGTTAAATCCATAAAGTTGTACGTTTTCTTACTTACTCAACAAATTCTAGGATGCCAATCAACAGTAATACCCCAGCAGACATGCTCAATGACAAACAGTAGCTACATCCCAGTAGATACACACAAGTGGCGTAGGGGCGGTCGGGTAGCCTAGTGGTTAAAGCGTTCGCTCGTCACGCCGAAGACCCGGGTTCGATTCCCGACATGGGTACAATGCGTGAAGCCCATTTCTGATGTCTTCTGCCGTGATATTGCTCGAATATTGCTAAAAGCGGCGTAAAACCATGCTCACTCACTCACTCACTCATAATTGGCGTAAGAAGATATACAGTAGACAAGTACAACTGGCATCAATGTGGCTGCTATCAAAGTGTCACTGACGTTGTCATGAAGGAACAGAAATCCAACCACATTTGATTAAAACCTTTCTTTAATGCAGGTTTTTGTAGGTCACCTATGTCAAATCACAATAAGGCAGGCACTATGTTAACGGAAGGCTGTAAGTTTCACTGTCCAAGGGAATTCAAAATATACGGTCCACTGGTCCAGTAGCGTCTAAACCCGCGGTACGGAGTTGCATCCCTTAGATACCAGATGTGGTGATCGTTGATTCGAATCCCAGCATCATAATTATCATCGTTGATCTTGGGTTTCAAAATGCCATAGAATAACCATTATCTGCCCAAGCCGATTCCATTGTGAGTACAAGGCAAACTAGCGGTGAAAGGCGTATGAATGTATCAGTGGCAATCAGTGAAGACACCGGGTGTTCGCGAAAAAGGTAAACATGTCCTGCCCAAGTGTTGTTTATTGCCTAAGCAGTACTCCTGTCACACGACGTCGGCGAAGCGCAATAAGAGCAGAAATTCTGTAGCTTTTTAGTAAGGGAAAATGTTTAAGAAATATGTTAGCTTTGCAATACAGACGGGGTGGGTGGTGGGGAGCGCTTGGCCCAAACATATTATCGTAATTTCGTAAACGACTGAGCTTATGTTGATACTCGGGGACTGTTGCCTTGCTTCCCGCCGACATTCCGTGAAAAAAGGGTAATACTGCTCACAACAGGTATAAACCACTGCCGCCAGACAAAAAATCCCTTCCCACATTTTTACCCGGCAATCAATTACAGGTAAATAGTTGCCAATGGTTGAATCTCTCATTATAGATTTGAAAGAGGACGTTTCAGGAGAGACGTTCACAGCTATTTATGTGTGAAGGATTGAGGTCTAGAATGTCACGGGAGACAACCAAGTGTTACATGATCAAGTTACGTCCCTTGGGCACGCCAGAAACCTATGATTGTCTGTTCGAATCCCGGTTCATCCCGATTACGTTTCTAGGTTTGTCAGCACCATACCCGTGCTCGTGGGTTTCACCAAAGTGGTAAACGTCTAAGACCTGCATCACTCCGGGCTTTCCTCCCACATTAAGCCGACACGCCTGATATGACTAGAATACTGTTAAAAGCGGCGTTAAACCCAAGTAACTCACTCACTCAGCACGATTCTGATGTGACCATGGCTGTAGTACGGTAGTGCGTACTCAACATAATTTTCAACGATTCGTTGGGACAAAACATTACTTCGAGTTAACGGAAAAGTGTCGGCCAAATTACACTGAAGTTGAAATTTAAAACGTACAAGATGAGACAAAACGATAAGGCTAACTGCACCAAGCGTCAGTTGAAAGGTTAAAACCTACAAGATGAGCAAAACCATAAGGCTAACTACACCAAGCGTCAATTACGCAACAAGCAAAGAACTGACCTTTCGTACATGACCCGTCCTGTTGGTCCCAGTACCCTACAGTGCACTTGCAACTACGGCCCTCATTGGTCAAGTTAGGCAGACATAATTGTTCACAGCCGCCATTGCTCTTCGTGCAGTTATCTGTAGTCAGAAATCTGGTGAGTATTTTACAAACTGGCTGCCATTACGATCATGAGAAAATCATTTACCTAATGCTATCACAGGTGGAACGTATAACGTTGCACTGTCAACATTATTAACCGTTCATAAAAGCTCAAAAGCCTCTTTAACGGACCTGCATTACACTGATAACAGCGCATACGAGTCCGCCTTTAAGGTTAAAGGTGACAACCATGTAACGAAAACAACGTCCTGGCGGGTAGTTTAGTACCTCTGTTAAATATATCACATTCTGGTGTGTGGTGTAATATGCATTTACTATATCACATTCTAGTGTGTGCTGTAATATGCATGAAATATATCGCATTCTAGTGTGTACTGTAATATGCATGAAATATATCACATTCTAGTGTGTGCTGTAATATGCATGAACTATATCACATTCTAGTGTGTGCTGTAATATGCATGAAATATATCACATTCTAGTGTGTGCTGTAATATGCATGAAATATATCACATTCTAGTGTGTGCTGTAATATGCATTAACTATATCGCATTCTGGTGTGTGGTGTAATATGCATTAACTATATCACATTCTAGTGTGTGCTGTAATATGCATGAAATATATCGCATTCTAGTGTGTACTGTAATATGCATTTACTATATCGCATTCTAGTGTGTGCTGTAATATGCATTAAATATATCACATTCTAGTGTGTGCTGTAATATGCATGAAATATATCACATTCTAGTGTGTACTGTAATATGCATGAAATATATCACATTCTAGTGTGTACTGTAATATGCATTTACTATATCGCATTCTAGTGTGTGCTGTAATATGCATGAACTATATCACATTCTAGTGTGTGCTGTAATATGCATGAACTATATCACATTCTAGTGTGTGCTGTAATATGCATGAAATATATCACATTCTAGTGTGTGCTGTAATATGCATGAAATATATCACATTCTAGTGTGTACTGTAATATGCATTTACTATATCGCATTCTAGTGTGTACTGTAATATGCATGAAATATATCACATTCTAGTGTGTGCTGTAATATGCATTTACTATATCACATTCTAGTGTGTGCTGTAATATGCATGAAATATATCACATTCTAGTGTGTGCTGTAATATGCATGAAATATATCACATTCTAGTGTGTGCTGTAATATGCATGAAATATATCACATTCTAGTGTGTGCTGTAATATGCATTTACTATATCGCATTCTAGTGTGTGCTGTAATATGCATGAACTATATCACATTCTAGTGTGTGCTGTAATATGCATGAAATATATCACATTCTAGTGTGTGCTGTAATATGCATGAAATATATCGCATTCTGGTGTGTGGTGTAATATGCATTTACTATATCACATTCTAGTGTGTGCTGTAATATGCATGAAATATATCACATTCTGGTGTGTGGTGTAATATGCATTTACTATATCACATTCTAGTGTGTGCTGTAATATGCATGAAATATATCGCATTCTAGTGTGTACTGTAATATGCATTTACTATATCGCATTCTAGTGTGTGCTGTAATATGCATTAAATATATCACATTCTAGTGTGTGCTGTAATATGCATGAAATATATCACATTCTAGTGTGTGCTGTAATATGCATGAACTATATCACATTCTAGTGTGTGTTGTAATATGCATGAAATATATCACATTCTAGTGTGTGCTGTAATATGCATGAACTATATCACATTCTAGTGTGTGCTGTAATATGCATGAACTATATCACATTCTAGTGTGTGCTGTAATATGCATGAAATATATCGCATTCTAGTGTGTACTGTAATATGCATTTACTATATCGCATTCTAGTGTGTGCTGTAATATGCATTAAATATATCACATTCTAGTGTGTGCTGTAATATGCATTTACTATATCACATTCTAGTGTGTGCTGTAATATGCATGAAATATATCACATTCTAGTGTGTGCTGTAATATGCATGAACTATATCACATTCTAGTGTGTACTGTAATATGCATGAAATATATCGCATTCTAGTGTGTACTGTAATATGCATGAAATATATCACATTCTAGTGTGTGCTGTAATATGCATGAAATATATCACATTCTGGTGTGTGGTGTAATATGCATTTACTATATCACATTCTAGTGTGTGCTGTAATATGCATGAAATATATCGCATTCTGGTGTGTGGTGTAATATGCATGAACTATATCACATTCTAGTGTGTGCTGTAATATGCATGAACTATATCACATTCTAGTGTGTGCTGTAATATGCATGAAATATATCGCATTCTAGTGTGTACTGTAATATGCATTTACTATATCGCATTCTAGTGTGTGCTGTAATATGCATTAAATATATCACATTCTAGTGTGTGCTGTAATATGCATGAAATATATCACATTCTAGTGTGTGCTGTAATATGCATGAAATATATCACATTCTAGTGTGTGCTGTAATATGCATGAACTATATCACATTCTAGTGTGTGCTGTAATATGCATTTACTATATCGCATTCTAGTGTGTACTGTAATATGCATGAAATATATCACATTCTAGTGTGTGCTGTAATATGCATGAAATATATCACATTCTGGTGTGTGGTGTAATATGCATTTACTATATCACATTCTAGTGTGTGCTGTAATATGCATGAAATATATCGCATTCTGGTGTGTGGTGTAATATGCATTTACTATATCACATTCTAGTGTGTGCTGTAATATGCATGAAATATATCACATTCTGGTGTGTGGTGTAATATGCATTTACTATATCACATTCTAGTGTGTGCTGTAATATGCATGAAATATATCGCATTCTAGTGTGTACTGTAATATGCATTTACTATATCGCATTCTAGTGTGTGCTGTAATATGCATTAAATATATCACATTCTAGTGTGTGCTGTAATATGCATGAACTATATCACATTCTAGTGTGTGCTGTAATATGCATGAACTGTATCACATTCTAGTGTGTGCTGTAATATGCATGAAATATATCACATTCTAGTGTGTGCTGTAATATGCATGAAATATATCACATTCTAGTGTGTGCTGTAATATGCATGAACTATATCACATTCAAGTGTGTGCTGTAATATGCATGAAATATATCGCATTCTAGTGTGTACTGTAATATGCATTTACTATATCGCATTCTAGTGTGTGCTGTAATATGCATTAAATATATCACATTCTAGTGTGTGCTGTAATATGCATGAAATATATCACATTCTAGTGTGTGCTGTAATATGCATGAACTATATCACATTCTAGTGTGTGCTGTAATATGCATTTACTATATCACATTCTAGTGTGTGCTGTAATATGCATGAAATATATCACATTCTAGTGTGTGCTGTAATATGCATTTACTATATCGCATTCTAGTGTGTACTGTAATATGCATGAAATATATCACATTCTAGTGTGTGCTGTAATATGCATGAAATATATCACATTCTGGTGTGTGGTGTAATATGCATTTACTATATCACATTCTAGTGTGTGCTGTAATATGCATGAAATATATCGCATTCTGGTGTGTGGTGTAATATGCATTTACTATATCACATTCTAGTGTGTGCTGTAATATGCATGAAATATATCACATTCTGGTGTGTGGTGTAATATGCATTTACTATATCACATTCTAGTGTGTGCTGTAATATGCACGAAATATATCGCATTCTAGTGTGTACTGTAATATGCATTTACTATATCGCATTCTAGTGTGTGCTGTAATATGCATGAAATATATCACATTCTAGTGTGTGCTGTAATATGCATGAAATATATCACATTCTAGTGTGTGCTGTAATATGCATGAAATATATCACATTCTAGTGTGTACTGTAATATGCATTAACTATATCGCATTCTAGTGTGTGCTGTAATATGCATGAAATATATCACATTCTAGTGTGTGCTGTAATATGCATGAACTATATCACATTCTAGTGTGTGCTGTAATATGCATGAAATATATCACATTCTAGTGTGTACTGTAATATGCATTTACTATATCGCATTCTAGTGTGTGCTGTAATATGCATGAAATATATCACATTCTAGTGTGTACTGTAATATGCATGAACTATATCACATTCTAGTGTGTGCTGTAATATGCATGAAATATATCACATTCTAGTGTGTACTGTAATATGCATTTACTATATCGCATTCTAGTGTGTGCTGTAATATGCATGAAATATATCACATTCTAGTGTGTGCTGTAATATGCATGAACTATATCACATTCTAGTGTGTGCTGTAATATGCATGAAATATATCACATTCTAGTGTGTACTGTAATATGCATTAACTATATCGCATTCTAGTGTGTACTGTAATATGCATGAAATATATCGCATTCTAGTGTGTGCTGTAATATGCATTAACTATATCGCATTCTAGTGTGTGCTGTAATATGCATGAAATATATCGCATTCTAGTGTGTGCTGTAATATGCATTAACTATATCGCATTCTAGTGTGTACTGTAATATGCATGAAATATATCGCATTCTAGTGTGTGCTGTAATATGCATTAACTATATCGCATTCTAGTGTGTGCTGTAATATGCACGAAATATATCACATTCTAGTGTGTGCTGTAATATGCATTAAATATATCACATTCTAGTGTGTGCTGTAATATGCATGAAATATATCACATTCTAGTGTGTGCTGTAATATGCATGAAATATATCACATTCTAGTGTGTGCTGTAATATGCATGAAATATATCACATTCTAGTGTGTGCTGTAATATGCATGAAATATATCACATTCTAGTGTGTGCTGTAATATGCATGAAATATATCACATTCTAGTTTGTGGTGTAATATGCACAACTTATATCACATTTTAGTGGGTGGTGTTATATGCATGAAATATATCACATTCTAGCGAGTGTGGTACAAACAATATGTGGGATATATATCATATTTTCTAATGTATGTGAAGTAATCAAATATGTCTGGGATATACATCATATTCTAGTGTGTGTGTTGTAATCCATATGTGCGAAATATATCATATTCTTGTGTCCTTGATACCAGTCACACGCACCGATACCTTTGAACCGCACTGTGTTTGACAAATATCATGCTCACGTTTCTTAAATATTCCAGTATCTGATTGTGAACTTACTTATGTGCGCCGGCTGTGACGATGTGTGGTATATCGAGATGTCGTGGAACTCCTTTTCGACGTAACTCTGTCCCACGTAGGCGAACGTGTCCTTGTCCTGGGCGTACAGACCCCCGCCGGCTCTCGACCAGAGGATGTAATCCTGAGACAAACACACCTTCGTATTAATGAGTGAGTGAGTGAGTTATAACGCCGCCTTGAAAAGTGTAGGTGAGTGAGTGGCGTTATAACGCCGCCTTGAACAGTGTAGGTGAGTGAGTGGCGTTAAAACGCCGCCTGGAACAGTGTAGTTGAGTGGCGTTATAACACCGCCTGGAACAGTGTAGGTGAGTGAGTGGCGTTATAACGCCGCCTTGAACAGTGTAGTTGAGTGGCGTTATAACACCGCCTGGAACAGTGTAGGTGAGTGAGTGGCGTTATAACACCGCCTTGAACAGTGTAGGTGAGTGAGTGGCGTTATAACGCCGCCTTGAACAGTGTTGTTGAGTGAGTAGCGTTATAACGCCGCCTTGAACAGTGTAGGTGAGTGAGTGGCGTTATAACGCCGCCTTGAACAGTGTAGTTGAGTGAGTAGCGTTATAACGCCGCCTTGAACAGTGTATGTGAGTGAGTAGCGTTATAACGCCGCCTTGAACAGTGTAGGTGAGTGCGTGGCGTTATAACGCCGCCTTGAACAGTGTAGTTGAGTGAGTAGCGTTATAACGCCGCCTTGAACAGTGTAGGTGAGTGAGTGGCCTTATAACGCCGCCTTGAAAAGTGTAGGTGAGTGAGTGGCGTTATAACGCCGCCTTGAACAGTGTAGTTGAGTGAGTAGCGTTATAACGCCGCCTTGAACAGTGTAGGTGAGTGAGTAGCGTTATAACGCCGCCTTGAACAGTGTAGGTGAGTGAGTGGCGTTATAACGCCGCCTTGAACAGTGTATGTGAGTGAGTAGCGTTATAACGCCGCCTTGAACAGTGTAGGTGAGTGCGTGGCGTTATAACGCCGCCTTGAACAGTGTAGGTGAGTGAGTGGCGTTATAACGCCGCCTTGAACAGTGTTGTTGAGTGAGTAGCGTTATAACGCCGCCTTGAACAGTGTAGGTGAGTGAGTGGCGTTATAACGCCGCCTTGAACAGTGTAGTTGAGTGAGTAGCGTTATAACGCCGCCTTGAACAGTGTATGTGAGTGAGTAGCGTTATAACGCCGCCTTGAACAGTGTAGGTGAGTGCGTGGCGTTATAACGCCGCCTTGAACAGTGTAGTTGAGTGAGTAGCGTTATAACGCCGCCTTGAACAGTGTAGGTGAGTGAGTGGCCTTATAACGCCGCCTTGAAAAGTGTAGGTGAGTGAGTGGCGTTATAACGCCGCCTTGAACAGTGTAGTTGAGTGAGTAGCGTTATAACGCCGCCTTGAACAGTGTAGGTGAGTGAGTAGCGTTATAACGCCGCCTTGAACAGTGTAGGTGAGTGAGTGGCGTTATAACGCCGCCTTGAACAGTGTAGTTGAGTGAGTAGCGTTATAACGCCGCCTTGAACAGTGTAGGTGTGTGAGTGGCGTTATAACGCCGCCTTGAACAGTGTAGGTGAGTGAGTGGCGTTATAACGCCGCCTTGAACAGTGTAGGTGAGTGAGTGGCGTTATAACGCCGCCTTGAACAGTGTAGTTGAGTGAGTAGCGTTATAACGCCGCCTTGAACAGTGTAGGTGAGTGAGTAGCGTTATAACGCCGCCTTGAACAGTGTAGGTGAGTGAGTGGCGTTATAACGCCGCCTTGAACAGTGTAGTTGAGTGAGTAGCGTTATAACGCCGCCTTGAACAGTGTAGGTGAGTGAGTGGCGTTATAACGCCGCCTTGAACAGTGTAGGTGAGTGAGTGGCGTTATAACGCCGCCTTGAACAGTGTAGTTGAGTGAGTAGCGTTATAACGCCGCCTGGAACAGTGTAGGTGAGTGAGTGACATTATAACGCCACCTGGAACAGTGTAGGTGAGTGTGTGGCGTTATAACGCCGCCTGGAACAGTGTAGGTGAGTGCGTGGCGTCATAACGCCGCCTTGAACAGTGTAGGTGAGTGGCGTTATAACGCCGCCTGGAACAGTGTAGGTGAGTGAGTGGAGTTATAACGCCGCTTTAAACAGTGTAGGTGAGTGAGTGGCCTTATAACGCCGCCTGGAACAGTGTAGGTGAGTGAGTGGCGTTATAACGCCGCCTTGAACAGTGTAGGTGAGTGGCGTTATAACGCCGCCTGGAACAGTGTAGGTGAGTGAGTGGAGTTATAACGCCGCTTTAAACAGTGTAGGTGAGTGAGTGGCCTTATAACGCCGCCTGGAACAGTGTAGGTGAGTGAGTGGCGTTATAACGCCGCCTGGAACAGTGTAGGTGAGTGAGTAGCGTTATAACGCCGCCTTGAACAGTGTAGGTGAGTGGCGTTATAACGCCGCCTGGAACAGTGTAGGTGAGCGAGTGGCGTGATAACGCCGCTTTGAACAGTATTTCAGGTATGAGTGAGTAGCGTTATAACGCCGCCTTGAACAGTGTAGGTGCGTGAGTGGCGTTATAACGCCGCCTTGAACAGTGTAGGTGAGTGAGTAGCCTTATAACGCCGCCTTGAACAGTTAGGTGAGTGAGTGGCGTTATAACGCCGCCTTGAACAGTTAGGTGAGTGAGTGGCGTTATAACGCCGCCTGGAACAGTGTATGTGAGTGCGTGGCGTTATAACGCCGCCTTGAACAGTGTAGGTGAGTGGCGTTATAACGCCGCCTTGAACAGTGTAGGTGAGTGAGTGGAGTTATAACGCCACTTTAAACAGTGTAGGTGAGCGAGTGGCGTTATAACGCCGCTTTGAACAGTATTTCAGGTATGTCACAGCAAATGGACTTGAAGTTGGATGGAAGCCTTAAGAAACGCTGGTCGTAGACACAAACCACCTTAGTTGAAGCCTGGAACCGAGGTTAGACGTAGCCGAGGGTCGTAATGAAGGATAACTGGACACGGCGACTAGTGAATCATGGCAACCGAGGGGCACTAACTCTGCACAATCACTTGCATCATCGAATATCACTGGATCACCCTTGCCCCCGCACTGTGTGGAGCTCAACACTTACGTTCATGATAGCGAGGCCGTTCACAAGAGACCTGGAGCTGGACAGAGCGCCACATTTCTTGCCCTGGCCGAGGTAGTCACCGTAACAAAGCAGGATCTTGTCACTGAAGTAGATGCTGCGAAGATAAAGCAAATTATAGCTAAAATGGATAGAATTATCATTAAACCGCCCGCACGTTATTAGAAATAAGCGGGCCACTGTAACTTGATAATGCCCTCATATTGCTTGACGACGGGCCATTATCAAGCCCGTTGTTTGGTGACGTCATAGGGTAGAGAAAATGACGTCACGTATTATAGTGACGTCATCTGGTTTGTTCTATGACGTTTCCATATTTGTAAAATGTGGTCAGTGACATTCGTGTCGATTGCAGTAAATGTTTCAAAACTGATATTGTTGTTCTTTTAATTTGATAACAAATTCCATCCATTTTAGCTATAATAACGGTAACGCTCTCTTTCAGGGCATTATCATTTGCAGAAGCCCTCAGTCTTCTTCGGGCAGTTAATGGAAGACCTCAGGCTTCTGCAAATGATAATGCCCTGAAAAATAGCGTTACCCTTATATTAGCATGAGCAGTCAACAACTGTAGTAGAACTGGAGACACCAGCAGGCATTCTTAGCTGACAACTCTATAACTGTAGCACTAGAGAGTGTTTCTATAGGGAGGGCTACAGTTACATCTCTACCTGATCACGGAACAGATAGCTGTAACGGTAGAACGGGACACCTTATGAAATCTGTATTTTTCAGTTAGTCAAAAGTTGTTGTTGTTTTTAGCACTAGCATATCAGTTTCCAGCCTCAAAGCGTCAGACAATCCCGTCTCTAAATATTGACAGAACCCCTTAAAACAAACCTACAATGGTAAGCTCAATAAGGTTTTTCACGTTCATCAAGTCCCGGAGTTTTTACACCGTTTTTTGCAATGTTCCAGATACATCAGGGCGGGCGACGCTAGAAATGGGCTTCACACGGTGTACCCATTTGGGGAATCGAACACGGACTTTCGCTGTGACCAGCAAACGCTATAACCACTTGGCTACCCTACTGCCCCTCATGGAAGCGTGCCATGGACGGCTTCCTACGTCAGTAACGACGGCCGTGACCTTCACGTAACATATAACGTCTGGCAAGAACCATGAAAAAGAAATACTGGCCCGTTACCGAGTGGCGGTCGGATCCACTGCGATTCGATGGTTGCGGTGATTGACTTGGAAAATATTGTACTTGACGTGAGTTCCATCCAGCCCAGCCCGCCCAATGTTCAGCTTGTCACCCCAGAATATGAACCTGTGTACAATCAGGGATTAATTCAGTAAATTGCTGTATGAATCGGGTAGACTGTTTCTTTGAATGAGTACGTAAACACCTCCATACCAAGATTCTGAAACACGACAGGAGATACGCAACTTTAACATTAATTCATTGATTATGCAGCATTAAATATTGTCTTGGGTACGCACCACCAAGTCGTTTTATGTCTGTCTGTTTGTTTGTTTGTTTGTTGTTAAACGCCGCACTCAGCAATATTCCAGCTATATGGCGGCGGTCTGTAAATAATCGAATCTGGACCAGACAATCCAGTGATTCACATCATGAGCATCGATCCAAGCAATTGGGATACGATGATATTCATCAACCAAGTCAGCGACCCTGACCACCCATTAGTCGCCTCTTACGACAAGATAGTCACCCTTTACGGCAAGCATGCATATGGGTTGCTGAAGACCTATTCCACCCCGGATTTTCACGGGTCCCACCATTTCGACCAAAAGAAGGATATCTATATCACCAGTTGCAATGTTTCATGTGAGTCTTCAAAACGTTAATCTCACATGTTAAGTGGGTCTACGACAACAGTTCGTGGACTCTCCAGGTGGCGCTCCACCACAACGGCTGGGAATCTGCCGTCTTCACGCGCCACGAGGATCTGGCTATTGGCCTTGTCTGCCCAGTATAGGTTCCGGGTCACCCAGTCGATGGCCAAATCTGAAACAAAATTCCCAGTAATGGTGCAGTCGTTAACCCTAGCGCCATTAAACTGCATAGTTGCAGTTTGCCCAAACCTTCCCCATCTCTTTGAAAGTAAAATGGATGCATTTGCTTCATCCTTATCAGCATCATCTTGTGTCAGTAAGATGGCGCTACACATTAGGATTGGAAGGCTGCGAGTATTTAGAGTTTTTTCTATTCTGCTTTAAGACCAGGCAGAGGTGAGAGCAAACCTGATCCACATAATTGAATTACGAGGGTTGATTGATAAATTCTTAGCCTAACATGGAAGGAACTGCGTAATATTGAATTCTTTACAGACAAAGATTTGAGTCAATTGTTCAAATGTTTCCACAGTGACAATGACAAGTCAGTAAAAAAAGTAGGGGTCTGTGACCTTTGGAAAATGGACAAACCTGATCAAGTACTTTAAAGGAAGGGGTCAACTACAAGCAAAACAGGAAGATAGGAGTCCAGCGCTTGGGAAGGATCTCCTTCTAATGCCGCCGTAAATAGCTAGGCAGGGAGAGCCTTGAAGACGACCCCCGTCCTCGAAGACATGCGACGTCAGCAACACCAGAAATAACTCAGTGATAATGAATCCACGATACTAGGATGACCGACCAGCGAATGACTGAGCGTCACATTGCTAGTTCAGCAACATGTCCCAGGAGAAAGTACATTCCATTATCACGGAAGCTGGCAATGAAAAAAAGTATCAGCACTTTGGGTTCCAAACCTTGACATCTCATCAAAAACGCAGCTGACATGACATGTCTCGTGATAATCTGGCTCTGTTTGAAGCTGATCCAGAATGGTTCTTGCAACGATTTGTGACCATGAATGAAACCAGTAGAAGCATGTGACATCACCATCAAAGAAGGCAGCCTGTCACTTCAGCTGGAAAGGTTATGGCCTTCGTGTTCTGGGATGCCGAGGCTGTCGTCATGGTGGACCATCACAACAAACGTGGCATATTCTAATGCACTTTTGAGGCAATTATACATGAGATGAAATTAAGACTAAGAGACGTGGGAAGCTGAGAATAAGTGTGCTCCTCCATCAGAACAATGTGTCAGTGATGAAATGAACCCCTCCTGGACCTCCTCTGGATCTCCCTATGACAATCGTAGCGGTAAGATAACTCGGAACTAGTGGAATGGAGAGGAATCCCTACATGGAATACATTGTAAGAGTGTGTGAGTATAGTTTTACGCCGCTTTAGCAATATTCCAGCAATATCACGAATGGGTACACAAGAAATGGGCTTCACACATTGTACCCATGTGGGGAATCGAACCCGGGGCATCGGCGTGACGAGCGAAACGTTGTGAGAATGGCGCTCACCTGACACCTCCTTCACGGCGGCTGTGGCAAGCGGCTCCGGTGTGAACTGGTCCTCGCTCTTCCCTCGACTTAACTTCATCTTCACCCGCAGGATTCTCTGAACAGAGGCGCAAGGAAACACGGAACTACTTTTATATAGTAAAAGATCAGGAACACTTAAAAAATTAACCAACTTTTGTAAAATTATAATGCTGCTATTTAACCCTATAATATGTCTGTAGCTGAACCTACCCGTGAAGATCCGGGGTAGAATAGGTCCTCAGCAACCCATGCTTGCCGTATGAGGCGACTAACGGTGGTCAGGCTCGCTGACTTGGTTGATGCATGTCATCGTATCCCAATTGCGTGGATCGATGCTCATTATGTCAATCACTGGATTGTCTGGTTACAGACCGTCGTCATACAGCTGGAAGAGTGTGGCGTTAAACAACAGACAAACAGACAGACATAAAACGAATTGGTGTCGCGTACCCAAGACAATATTATCAAACAAACAAACAAATGGTAGCTGAATCCCGTCCTGTATGTTTACATAGTGAAGTCACTGCTCGGTAAATCTGTATATTTGTAGATAGTGGTGTATATATTGATGTATCAGTGCTGTACTTCTAATACAGCTGATAGCGGCCTGAGTGTAATAAAATTCAGTTCAGCCCAGCATGTTTATTGTTATAGTAAGGTGGGGTGAAATGGGAATAACGTTCGAGTTCAAGATTATCAGTACCAGTGTATGAGGGTGGGGGTCGGGGGTGGGGGTGGTTGTGGGTTTGTGTGTCTGCTTGCTAGTACACTGAAAGCGATACCATGCCGCAGTTTAACATTGACACCAAACTCAGACACATTAAACTGACTCGAGTCGACAACACTTTGTGTTATCCCTTAATACCGAGCGACTGGCAGGGCGACAACACATTGTTTTATCCCTTAATACCGAGCGACAGACAGGGCGACAACACTTTGTTTTATCCCTTAATACCGAGCGACTGGCAGGGCGACAACACTTTGTTGTATCCCTTAATACCGAGCGACTGGCAGGGCGACAACACTTTGTTTTATCCCTTAATACCGAGCGACTGGCAGGGCGACAACACTTTGTTTTATCCCTTAATACCGAGCGACTGGCAGGGTGACAACAAGTTTGTTTGTCTGTTGTTTAACGACGCGCTCAGCAATATTCCAGCTGTATGACGGCGGTCAGTATAATATTCAAATCTGGAACAGACAATCCAGTGATTGACAGCATGAGCATCGGTCGACACAATTGGGATATAATTACACGTATCAATCGAATAATAGAGCCTGACCACCCCATCAGTAGCAATAAGTAGCATCTTTTAACGTCTTTTGACATGACGTGGCCAGGGGATTAAACCACCGACCTTCGCTCTCCGGACTGACACCCTATCCACAAGACACAAAGGCGGCCACAGACACTCATATCCGGGGGTTTGTATTAAGGAAAAACATAATACTTATTTCCGAAATTCATCTTGTTGCAAATAAACGTTGATAAGTATACACTGAAAAGCTAAACGAATAATAATAAAAGATGAAATGTAACATAATATAATAACTATCGGTAGAAAATTGCTTTGCTGCCTTTTGGAAATCCAAGTCAAATAAGGCTTATGTGCCTTTCAGAAGGTATTCTTTATAAACATTAGTTGTTGTTGTTTTTATTTAAAGAACAGTTAATGAGTAAAGTATACCCCCTCCTTTCCGGCTTCCTCGTAGTAGTAGATGTAGTCGGTGTGGGCGTTCGCCGTCAAGGCGTAGATGTTCATCCGGGGATGTAGGGGAATATGGACGAGATTTTCATCGTCCTTGTTTTTCACTTCGGCGAAGTTCCGATTCAGTCGGTAGATGTCGGTAGATGTCGCCAGGAGAATGACGCCCCTGTTATAGGGCGAGCTGATCGTGCGGTGTGGAACCCCTTACAGAAATATACGTCAAGAGTGAGTGAGTGAATACGGCCGAACTCCGTATGTGCGATTGGCATCTGTTTGCGGGACATCTATACCATTACAAAAGGAGATCCTAATAGGTAAGTATGCGCCTTGTTTCATCGAATTCTTTAACTCGACATATCTTTTAAGACGAACTATATGACCCATACAGCAATACGTATTGCCATTATCGTCCAATAGCAAGGTTCCGCTTATCTGGAACCATGGACAACTCGATATATTTTCCAGAAATTCGACTTTCGAGTTTCACTGTCTTAATTATTGTTACATGATTAATTTAGTGTGTTTAATTGGTAGTAGAGTGGCAATGGAAAGGCATCTTAACACTACTGTATTGTCAATATATCACAGGCAGTACAGCTTCTTGGTATATAAAGAGATCTAGAAAGCCATAAAGGGGGTGGAAAGTGTCTGTGTGTAGAGAATGAGTTACGACAGTCGTAGAAACTTGATAGGAACTCGCTGACTTATCTTATCATCCATATACTGTCAATATTATCACAGGCAATACAGTTTCTAGGTATATACAGAGATCTAGAAAGCCACAAAGGGGGCGGGAGGTGTCTGTGTGTAAGGAACAGGTACGTCACGACAGTCGTAGCTCTCAGATGACTTGATAGAAAGCTCCAGGCGTCCAATTGACTTACCTTTCCCCGTGACGGCCTTCGCGTCAATGACGATGCCGAGCGGCTTCCCTCCCCACGCCTTCTCCAACGACCTGTTGAGAGCAACGTCGTGGATGGCGATGACTCCACGTTGTTCATCAGTCGTGACAATGAAGCCCTGAAGAATAATCTACTCTTAACAATGCGTAGCGGCCATAAAATGTCCGAGTCCCGTTGTGGGAATCGAACCACGGGCCTTCTGATCCGAGGTCGGTCGCCTTATCCACATTACCAAAGAGGTTATTATTACAAAAGGGGGTCACCTGACTCCACCAATTTCCCCATCCGCATTTGAGGCAGGTTAGCGGTCGCTCCTTGCACAAAACAGCCTGGTTTCCTTGGCAACGGATACAATAAGTTACTATGATATAATATGATATATGGATACTATGATTTCAGATTAAAAAAAATATCACCAGGATCGTTTAGCAGTTAATAAAGAAGAATCATTACAACAGCTTGTGACGTATATATGTGTATGACCTGATCAGCTGCGGATAAATTAGGCGTTTGTTTCATATCACGATGTTCACAATGTTCCCCCTGGGGGTAATGCCTCGGGGTGGACGCACCTGGTATATGTCCAGGTCAAACAGCTGACTGTTCGGGCGTCGAAGTGCTATGGTGAGATCCCGTCCCTGTAAGTCGGTTGATCGCACGACACTCTCGGAGAATTCCCACTCAATCCAATACAGTCTACAAAGTACAGTGGGAAAGTGAGTTGATGATTTGCTTTCGACAGGAATTAGTTCCACCCCAGCGTGTCAGTTTTACAAAGGAAAGACAAAAGTGATGCTGGCATGAGATGTTTAGCACTGTGGTCCTGATGGAGCAAGGATCATAATCGGAATGATTTTCGGTTTCGAACGACGACAAGCGGACAAGCCAGCCACTCTCCACAAAAGGCGGTCTGGACTCTCAGGGCCGACTGTCCGCCACGTGGTTCAAACGTATCGTAACCCACTCATTCGGGCGGGTGGCCCAGTTGTCTAAGGCACCGTGATTCGCTGTGCAAGGGGCGGTCGGGTAGCCTAGTGGTTAAAGCGTTCGCTCGTCACGCCGAAGACCCGGGTTCGATTCCCGACATGGGTACAATGTGTGAAGCCCATTTCTGGTGTCCCCCGCCGTGATATTGCTGGAATATTGCTAAAAGCGGCGTAAAACCATACTCAGTCAGTCAGTCAGTCGCTGTGCAAAGTTGCGTCCCTTGGGCACGCCAGAAAATATGATTGTGGGTTCGAATCCCGGTTCTCACAGATTATGTTTCTAGGTTTGCCAGCGCCATACCCGTGCTCGTGGATTTCACCGAAGTGGTAAACGTCTGAGACCTGCCCTCCCACATTAAGATGACACGCCGCGATATAACTGGAATCCTGTTAAAAGCGGTGTTAAACCAAACTCACTCACTCACTCATTCGGGAACACAATGTCCAAAGTCTATAACACGAGGAAGATATATTTTCCTGAATGAACTACAGAATTACTTCATCACCAAATGTACAGCACTTATGAGTGTGACTTTAGACCGATTCCATATGGTCATCATGTCATACACTTTTTTGTAACATGGAAATCATTGTTTTCTGTTGTGTAATGCAAAAAATGAATAATTATGAAAAAAAATTATTTTGTCGGGAATGGCATCTGTGCCTTGGCATCAACTGACCTGTTGGAGTGGTAGTCAATGCACATGCCCTTCGGTCGCAAGAGGTCAATCCTCATCAGTGTCCGGTTCGTCCCGTCCAGGCGGGCTGATTCCAGCCGATGTCCGTCTGACCAGAAGATGCGACTGAAGCGATAGTGCACTTTACGCAATAGCAGTGGTCTATCAGTGAAACAGCTTCATACAAAATAACCAAAAATCTATTAGACCACAGACCACATAGGCGGATCGAGATGGATGGGGGGAGTCCAGGATGTCGGGACCCTCACCCCTTCTTTTGAACACCAAATGAAGTATGTTGTAGACACACATCCCAATAATAATAATAATAAATTAATTATTAAAATGAGAGAGGATTTTGAAATTTTGTACTTTGGACCCCTCCCTTTCAAAAATGCTGGATCCGCCCTTCGACCAGGATGTGATTCGTAAATTTGTTGAAAAGGCGAAGTGATGGCCGCCTCAATGCTTTTACTGGAGAGTAACCCTTGCATCATTTCGATATGGGAGGTGTCGCTCACTGAAGCTGCATGGGTGCAACAGTGAATTTCGACTGCAAGATTTGTAAACTAAGATAGGCATGAACGGGTGAAATATGTACCCTATATACGGTTGTACAGCAAGTCCAGTCGGAGCGTCCAGTTCGCTTCCGACAACAACAGTGGCGTTCTGGAACAGCTGCCCGCTGCCGTCAGTGGCTGTCATCAAGATGGCGTCGTAGGCAGGATCTGCCCAGTAGATGTTGTTGTTGATCCAGTCCACAGCAATACCTGTTATATTCATGGGAAAATAGTTGTAGGTATGTACATAGTAAACAGTCTTAAGTATATATAGTGCCCATATCGCATGGGTAAACACTCATAATTATAAACAATGTGTTCACATCACATTTGGAAACAGTCCTAATTTTATACACTGTGTCCATGTCACGTGGGTAAACTACCGTAAGTATATACACTGTGTCAATGTCACGTGGGTAAACTATCGTAAGTATATACACTGTGTCCATGTCACGTGGGTAAACTTGTCCATGTCACATGGGTAAACTATCGTAAGTATATACACTGTGTCCATGTCACATGGGTAAACTATCGTAAGTATATACACTGTGTCCATGTCACATGGGTAAACTATCGTAAGTATATACACTGTGTCCATGTCACATGGGTAAACTACCGTAAGTATATACACTGTGTCCATGTCACATGGGTAAACTATCGTAAGTATATACACTGTGTCCATGTCACATGGGTAAACTATCTTATATACACTGTGTCCATGCCACATGGGTAAACTATCGTAAGTATATACACTGTGTCCATGTCACGTGGGTAAACTATCGTAAGTATATACACTGTGTCCATGTCACGTGGGTAAACTATCTTATATACACTGTGTCCATGCCACATGGGTAAACTACCGTAAGTATATACACTGTGTCCATGTCACATGGGTAAACTACCGTAAGTATATACACTGTGTCCATGTCACATGGGTAAACTACCGTAAGTATATACACTGTGTCCATGTCACATGGGTAAACTACCGTAAGTATATACACTGTGTCCATGTCACGTGGGTAAACTACCGTAAGTATATACACTGTGTCCATGTCACGTGGGTAAACTATCTTATATACACTGTGTCCATGTCACATGGGTAAACTATCGTAAGTATATACACTGTGTCCATGTCACGTGGGTAAACTATCTTATATACACTGTGTCCATGTCACATGGGTAAACTATCGTAAGTATATACACTGTGTCCATGTCACGTGGGTAAACTACCGTAAGTATATACACTGTGTCCATGTCACGTGGGTAAACTATCTTATATACACTGTGTCCATGTCACATGGGTAAACTATCGTAAGTATATACACTGTGTCCATGTCACGTGGGTAAACTACCGTAAGTATATACACTGTGTCCATGTCACGTGGGTAAACTATCTTATATACACTGTGTCCATGTCACATGGGTAAACTATCGTAAGTATATACACTGTGTCCATGTCACGTGTGTAAACTACCGTAAGTATATACACTGTGTCCATGCCACACGGGTAAACTATCGTAAGTATATACACTGTGTCCATGTCACATGGGTAAACTACCGTAAGTATATACACTGTGTCCATGTCACATGGGTAAACTACCGTAAGTATATACACTGTGTCCATGTCACGTGGGTAAACTACCGTAAGTATATACACTGTGTCCATGTCACGTGGGTAAACTATCTTATATACACTGTGTCCATGTCACATGGGTAAACTACCGTAAGTATATACACTGTGTCCATGTCACGTGGGTAAACTATCTTATATACACTGTGTCCATGTCACATGGGTAAACTATCGTAAGTATATACACTGTGTCCATGTCACGTGGGTAAACTACCGTAAGTATATACACTGTGTCCATGTCACGTGGGTAAACTATCTTATATACACTGTGTCCATGTCACATGGGTAAACTATCGTAAGTATATACACTGTGTCCATGTCACGTGTGTAAACTACCGTAAGTATATACACTGTGTCCATGCCACACGGGTAAACTATCGTAAGTATATACACTGTGTCCATGTCACATGGGTAAACTATCTTATATACACTGTGTCCATGCCACATGGGTAAACTATCGTAAGTATATACACTGTGTCCATGTCACATGGGTAAACTATCGTAAGTATATACACTGTGTCCATGTCACGTGGGTAAACTATCTTATATACACTGTGTCCATGTCACATGGGTAAACTATCGTAAGTATATACACAGTGTCCATGTCACGTGGGTAAACTATCGTAAGTATATACACTGTGTCCATGTCACGTGGGTAAACTACCGTAAGTATAAACACTGTGTCCATGTCACATGGGTAAACTATCGTAAGTATATACACTGTGTCCTTATCACATTGGTAAACAGTCGTAAGTATATACACTGTGTCCATGTCACGTGGGTAAACTATCGTAAGTATATACACTGTGTCCATATCACATGGGTAAACAGTCGTTAGTACACTCTTCACAAATAGAAACGCACAGGTATATGCAAAATAGAAACATCTGACACTCATTTTCAAGTTATGTATGTCCTGTGCTGTTTTAGTGTCACGTACATATGAATTGGATAAGCTTCTTGAGTTTATACTGATTGCTTAGGGTAAAACTCTACCAGTATTAAATTATTGCCAGGATAGAGATATCGGGATAGAAAGAGGATGTGATATATCTTACACGTCGGGGTAATGTTTACAACATTCACCAGGGTAATCTACAATAACACATGCAAACCGTAATTGAAGATACAGTTCAATGTTCAGGAGACCTGTGGTCTTCTTTGAGATGCCCTTGAACACCGGCCGCTTCCTGTACTTGTTGGCATCCTTGATGTCATACGCCTGCAACATACGTACAGGTAACAATCACCATACCGGCCACATGAACACCGTTACTTGTTGGCATCCTTGATGTCATACGCCTGCAACATACGTACAGGCAACAATCACCATACCGCCCACATGAACACCGTTACTTGTTGGCATCCTTGATGTCATAGGCCTGCAACATACGTACAGGTAACAATCACCATACCGGCCACATGAACACCGTTACTTGTTGGCATCCTTGATGTCATACGCCTGCAACATACGTACAGGTAACAATCACCATACCGGCCACATGAACACCGTTACTTGTTGGCATCCTTGATGTCATACGCCTGCAACATACGTACAGGTAACAATCACCATACCTGCCACATGAACACCGTTACTTGTTGGCATCCTTGATGTCATACGCCTGCAACATACGTACAGGTAACAATCACCATACCTGCCACATGAACACCGTTACTTGTTGGCATCCTTGATGTCATAGGCCTGCAACATACGTACAGGTAACAATCACCATACCGGCCACATGAACACCGTTACTTGTTGGCATCCTTGATGTCATACGCCTGCAACATACGTACAGGTAACAATCACCATACCGGCCACATGAACACCGTTACTTGTTGGCATCCTTGATGTCATACGCCTGCAACATACGTACAGGTAACAATCACCATACCGGCCACATGAACACCGTTACTTGTTGGCATCCTTGATGTCATACGCCTGCAACATACGTACAGGTAACAATCACCATACCGGCCACATGAAAACCGTTACTTGTTGGCATCCTTGATGTCATACGCCTGCAACATACGTACAGGTAACAATCACCATATCGGCACATGAACACCGTTACTTGTTGGCATCCTTGATGTCATAGGCCTGCAACATACGTACAGGTAACAATCACCATACCTGCCACATGAACACCGTTACTTGTTGGCATCCTTGATGTCATACGCCTGCAACATACGTACAGGTAACAATCACCATACCGGCCACATGAACACCGTTACTTGTTGGCATCCTTGATGTCATAGGCCTGCAACATACGTACAGGTAACAATCACCATACCGGCCACATGAAAACCGTTACTTGTTGGCATCCTTGATGTCATACGCCTGCAACATACGTACAGGTAACAATGACCATATCGGCACATGAACACCGTTACTTGTTGGCATCCTTGATGTCATAGGCCTGCAACATACGTACAGGTAACAATCACCATACCTGCCACATGAACACCGTTACTTGTTGGCATCCTTGATGTCATACGCCTGCAACATACGTACAGGTAACAATCACCATACCGCCCACATGAACACCGTTACTTGTTGGCATCCTTGATGTCATAGGCCTGCAACATACGCACAGGTAACAATCACCATACCGGCCACATGAACACCGTTACTTGTTGGCATCCTTGATGTCGTACGCCTGCAACATACGTACAGGTAACAATCACCATACCGGCCACATGAACACCGTTACTTGTTGGCATCCTTGATGTCATACGCCTGCAACATACGTACAGGTAACAATCACCATACCGCCATATGAACACCGTTACTTGTTGGCATCCTTGATGTCATACGCCTGCAACATACGTACAGGTAACAATCACCATACCGGCCACATGAACACCGTTACTTGTTGCCATCCTTGATGTCATAGGCCTGCAACATACGTACAGGTAACAATCACCATACCGCCACATGAACACCGTTACTTGTTGGCATCCTTGATGTCGTAGGCCTGCAACATACGTACAGGTAACAATCACCATACCTGCCACATGAACACCGTTACTTGTTGGCATCCTTGATGTCATACGCCTGCAACATACGTACAGGTAACAATCACCATACCGGCCACATGAAAACCGTTACTTGTTGGCATCCTTGATGTCATACGCCTGCAACATACGTACAGGTAACAATCACCATATCGGCACATGAACACCGTTACTTGTTGGCATCCTTGATGTCATAGGCCTGCAACATACGTACAGGTAACAATCACCATACCTGCCACATGAACACCGTTACTTGTTGGCATCCTTGATGTCATACGCCTGCAACATACGTACAGGTAACAATCACCATACCGGCCACATGAACACCGTTACTTGTTGGCATCCTTGATGTCATAGGCCTGCAACATACGTACAGGTAACAATCACCATACCGGCCACATGAAAACCGTTACTTGTTGGCATCCTTGATGTCATACGCCTGCAACATACGTACAGGTAACAATCACCATATCGGCACATGAACACCGTTACTTGTTGGCATCCTTGATGTCATAGGCCTGCAACATACGTACAGGTAACAATCACCATACCTGCCACATGAACACCGTTACTTGTTGGCATCCTTGATGTCATACGCCTGCAACATACGTACAGGTAACAATCACCATACCGCCCACATGAACACCGTTACTTGTTGGCATCCTTGATGTCATAGGCCTGCAACATACGTACAGGTAACAATCACCATACCGGCCACATGAACACCGTTACTTGTTGGCATCCTTGATGTCATAGGCCTGCAACATACGCACAGGTAACAATCACCATACCGGCCACATGAACACCGTTACTTGTTGGCATCCTTGATGTCATAGGCCTGCAACATACGTACAGGTAACAATCACCATACCGGCCACATGAACACCGTTACTTGTTGGCATCCTTGATGTCATACGCCTGCAACATACGTACAGGTAACAATCACCATACCGCCATATGAACACCGTTACTTGTTGGCATCCTTGATGTCATAGGCCTGCAACATACGTACAGGTAACAATCACCATACCGGCCACATGAACACCGTTACTTGTTGCCATCCTTGATGTCATAGGCCTGCAACATACGTACAGGTAACAATCACCATACCGGCCACATGAACACCGTTACTTGTTGGCATCCTTGATGTCATAGGCCTGCAACATACGCACAGGTAACAATCACCATACCGGCCACATGAACACCGTTACTTGTTGGCATCCTTGATGTCATAGGCCTGCAACATACGTACAGGTAACAATCACCATACCGCCACATGAACACCGTTTCTTGTTGGCATCCTTGATGTCATAGGCCTGCAACATACGTACAGGTAACAATCACCATACCGCCACATGAACACCGTTACTTGTTGGCATCCTTGATGTCATACGCCTGCAACATACGTACAGGTAACAATCACCATACCGGCCACATGAACACCGTTACTTGTTGGCATCCTTGATGTCATAGGCCTGCAACATACGTACAGGTAACAATCACCATACCGGCCACATGAACACCGTTACTTGTTGGCATCCTTGATGTCATAGGCCTGCAACATACGTACAGGTAACAATCACCATACCGGCCACATGAACACCGTTACTTGTTGGCATCCTTGATGTCATAAGCCTGCAACATACGTACAGGTAACAATCACCATACCGCCACATGAACACCGTTACTTGTTGGCATCCTTGATGTCATACGCCTGCAACATACGTACAGGTAACAATCACCATACCGGCCACATGAACACCGTTACTTGTTGGCATCCTTGATGTCATAGGCCTGCAACATACGTACAGGTAACAATCACCATACCGGCAACATGAACACCGTTACTTGTTGGCATCCTTGATGTCATACGCCTGCAACATACGTACAGGTAACAATCACCATACCGGCCACATGAACACCGTTACTTGTTGGCATCCTTGATGTCATACGCCTGCAACATACGTACAGGTAACAATCACCATACCGCCACATGAACACCGTTACTTGTTGGCATCCTTGATGTCGTACGCCTGCAACATACGTACAGGTAACAATCACCATACCGGCCACATGAACACCGTTACTTGTTGGCATCCTTGATGTCATAGGCCTGCAACATACGTACAGGTAACAATCACCATACCGGCCACATGAACACCGTTAGGTTGCGTACAGTGCATACATCACCGAATTCATATTTCATCCTGGTCCAAACCATGGAAGGTTTGTCTGTGTTTCAAAGCACTGCTGTTGTTATCACATGCCTACCATTATTCTCTGAAACTCCTAATATTTTGTTAAATGACATATGTTATATTCCATTTAATTCCTGAACTGTATGTGTCTGGTAAATCAAGGCACTTTGCTTCTTCCTTAGCGAGGCAGGTAGTGCTGTTGATAAGGCGTTCGGCTTCCAACCGAAAACCGAGGTCGAACCCCAAGTTGGTGCACTGTGTGAAGCCTATCTTTGGGCCTTAGCTGCGATAGTGATCAAATGTTATTAAACGCCGCAACACCATACTCACTAGCTCATCCATCCTTATGATGCGTTTATCGCCGTTGTGTAAGCCGACCAATTATAAAATACCTATTTGAAACAGTTAGCATCAATAAACACGCACACGAACACGAACACGCACACGCACACGCACACGCACACGCACACGAACACGCACACGCACACGAACACGCACACACACAAGAACACGCACACGCACACACAGTAGTATGAGAACGGCTGGAGACCACCTACCTCAATGATACGCTGGCCGATGTTGGTCATATAGAAGGTCCTGGTGAGGTAATGGTAGTCAATGGCGACATACTGGTCAGCACTAGCACCACAGTTGCCGTGGCCAGTGATAAACTTGTTCTGAAAAAGGGGATGCGCTGTGAGAGCTGAAGGCTTACAAACATAGTCATTACAGCAGGATCAAAGATTTTACCGACGTTTCTGCTGGGAACGTCACGCCATGTCAGGACTTCGCCTAAAATGTTTCCGTCGTCGACTTGTTTTTCAGAACTCATCGTTGTATGAGAAGATATTTCAACAACGACAGACCACGCATAAACATGTTGTCTGTAGAGGACGCTGTGCACAGTTTACTCAACACCTCAGCCCCGTTCCTCTGATGTCGGCATAACCCGAGACATCATCATTTATTTATTTTAAATTGTGTTCTTGTTTAACGCCTCAACCAGTCATATTACTATAGTTAATCTGTGATCATAATAAATTTTAATGTACTTTTTTTGTTGGTTGGTTTGTTGTTTAACGCCACACTCTGACGGCGTTCTGTAAATAATCGAGTCTGGACCAGACAATCCAGAGATTGACCCCATTAGCATCAATCCATGCAACTGGGATACGATGACATGCATCAGCCAAGTCAGCGAGCCTGACCACCCGATTCCGTTAGTCGCCTCTGACGACAATCATGGGTTGCTGAAGACCTATTCTACCCCGGATCTTCACGGGTGGGCATTATAATGTGTTCGGGGTCCTTGTGATCATGTTCAATAGATCAGTTATTGATTGTTCTTCGTTGTTCTTAGACTTTTGTTTGGTTTAGAAAACAATAAATGCGATCCTTGTTTTATTTCTTCCGCTTGAAATTTGTGCGAACGTTTTTCACTGCCACAATGTAGCCATGCCCGACAATGCACATGCATGTAAAGCTTGCATACGTATGATACACTTTCAGGAAACGTGTCAATATTGAACTTCACAAGGTATCTCCTGTCTGCCTTCCTCTTTGTCACAGGAAAGGGTGATATTTACTAAACATTAAACCTGACATTAACTAAACTAAATAAATCTGAAACAAACCAATAACTATATCAACAAGAATATAATCAACAATTATATTTCTACATTTACAGATGGATTCAAGGATGGTGACGCAATTGCTAGCGCCACTGTCATTGGACCCAAAACATCTCAGCAAGTTTACCAGACAACACTTTGACTTGATTCCAATTCCTCTGAGTCCATCGTAAGTGTCGCTGTGCCCACAATTGACGTTGACGTCTGTGTAATTGAGTCAGAATCGGCCCGCAGTATGGCCGTCGTGCTTGAAGGTGAGCAGTTCTCAGACGGTTTCGAACAGTTTGCGCACTCAGTCTACCCCTAAACAGTTCATTTCTGGTTGATGTAGGTGTCAAAAATCGGTTTCGGAGGTGACGTAAGACAATCTGACGATCCTCTGCATGTGACACCACACGTGGTCGACCTGGCCGAGGGCGATCAGCGGTGGTACCCGTTTGCTGTAGACGCGTCTGTAAATCATAAACAGTCCGTCGACTACAACCCATCGTCCTTGCGACTTCAGCTACGGACGTTCCCGTCTGCAACATGCCGATGGCACGTTCACGTTGCTAATTTGAAAGGCGTGGCATGACAAATGGCCGTAAAGACTTTTGTTTTCTTGTGTTTTTCTTTTTATGTTAATGACTGCTAACAAGTATGGCTGAAAACACGTGCGGTATTATGGCCACGTGACCAGTTGCACGTGAAAAACCACTTTTGCCACTATAGTGCTGTGCACATGATTTTGATCGATTCACCTGCACAAAAAACGGTTGTTATCTGAAGACAATACGTGGCCATTACTGTTTTAATAAACAATAAGGGCCCACAATAATAACTGGTCAAAATGTTAAAATTTTAGGATTGTGAAGTTTTTAATTTGGTTCAATCACGAGAATCTGTACTTTACAAAGAAAGTGTTAGCACAAATATAAGATTTGATAAATGGCATTGTGTGTTCATAGCTCTAATAAAGACTCTTCAAAAATAGAAACGCACAGGTAGTATGTAGTTCATTGAACCTGACTACACAAAAAATCCGATATATAAATTGGATATATGTTATTGGAAAATGTTGGTGGCCTGATGTCCGACAAACGGTGCGTCAAAACGCAGCTATTGTCGATTTGCAATGTCTTAAACGGCATTGTTTTCACACTTGTTCAAAAATGTCATGGAGGAAAACAGTAAAGCAAAATTCACGTGCAAGTTATGGCATTGGTAACTCTCGGTAGTGGCTATAAAAAAAAAGGAAACATAAGCCAATAATTTGTCATTCAATTGTCAACATTTTTCATGTTCGAAAATGCCGAGACTCAGCGCTGCCGCTATAAAGAGGAGAATCGCAGTCTTCTGTTGTACGCCACTTCAACGTCCACCACAGCACCATTTGCCTCCTTTGGGACCAATACACACAGTTCAATTCCAATGCAGACCGTCCGAGAACCGGCCGACCAAGAGTTACTATCCCTGCACAGGATCGCTACATTCGACTGTTCCACGTCATTGCAATGCCACAGATACGGAGACTGCAGGACGCATCCCTGGTTCGAGAACTGCCAGGAACCATCTTCGCGAGGCTGGAATCCGACCCAGAAGACCAGTTATCGTCCCTGTTTTGCAACAGATTCATCGACAGCGACGCTGGTGTTGGTACCATACCTAACAGCCTTGGAATTAGAGAAATTGGAGACGAGTGTGGTTTAGCGATGAATCACGATTTCTTCTTCACCGGCGAGATGGAAGACAACGTGTTTATCGTCGTCGAAATGAGCGCTTTGCCCCACATTGTGTACGTGAATTCGACAATTTCGGTGGCGGTAGTGTCGTGGTGTGGGGTTGTGGTTCAGGGACATTTGACAGCAAATCGCTACATAAATCAAATTCTTCAACCTCACCTTCTTCCAATCATTGACCGCCAGAGGGAGCTGTTTCTACAGCTTGTGGCACGGTAGACTATCCTCATAATGCCAACATCAACGGCTTGCCTTGGCATGTGGAGATCAAGAGATCTCAACCAAATCGAACATCTCTGGGATGAACTCGATCGACGTGGACGTCAACGTCAGAACACGCCGCAGACACTCCCACAACTGGCCAACACGTTACAAGCAGAATGGCGCAGAATTTCGCAGGACAGAATTCGTACACTTATCCAGTCAGTGCCGAGGAGATGCAGAGGCGTGATATTGCTGGAATATTGCAGCAGCATAAATCCAAACTCACTCACTCACTCCATACAGTGATTATGAGCCTGTGATCAGATCCTTTATCAGTGATATAATGCAAAGCACTTCTCATTGCACTTTAAGACGAATAGCATTGACAGAAAATATTTGATTTATGGATGATAAAATAATTCCGGGCATAAAGCACTGTAAAAGTATAGTCGTCCTGCCAGTAGCACGCAATTCCATTCTTGATCAACGTATATAATATTGACTTTGTATATTGGCTTGCATAACGTACATCATCTTCCCGAGGTAAGTGAGTTAACTGACTTTAAAAGTTCAGTTTCCACCCTTGCCGAACTAGGCTGGTATTATGGAGTCACATTTGGGCTATGCTTAGTCCAATCAAAACCGCACAAAGAAATCGACATCCTGTCCGTAAACTGTCGTGCAGATTTCGGTCGATTGCAGGATTTGCAAAGCATGTGCACCGCCAACTCGGCGTCAACAGATATTTTCCAAATCTTTTCATGTTTTTAATCAGGTGCTCATGTGATTTGAGGCACTTTGCGATGTAAGACCCGTTTAATCACAGCATAGATCTTGATTATTGATCAGATCGTCTTGAGTGGGCGCAAATGCAAGTGATACAAGAGGTGGAATCTGATTGGTCAATATGAGAGGCATAGAATGGACACAACTCGTAATAACCACTGGTGGCGCTACGATCGAGCCCAGATATTCCAGTCTAGTTCGTCAAGGGTGGAAACTGGACTTTTGTTGTCAGTTAACTCCCTTGCCTCGGGAAGATGAACGTACATCCACTGCTGACCTTAGTGATGGCTTAAATCCTGCTGGGGAATCCTGCAGGAAGCAGAGATACGGAAACTCCCCATGGTTCCCAGTAAGATGCTCTGACTTTGGTTGCAATATCTTTGTTTTAACTGATAAAACTTGAATATGGGAAATTATTTGTTTCAATTTTGACATGTTTGTTTTATCCAAAAATATTTACCTGACTGTTGTACTGCCCTCTGTGGGCAGTCATTTTATTATGATTGTTGATGTTGTTGTTATCGCTATGAGGCTGAAATATTTCAGATGCGATGTAAAATTTTAACTCACTCATTCACTCAGGAATTATAGAATTGGATGAAGCACGAGTAAATGTAAATTGTGACTGATCGTGGAGAAAGACTTACTATATTCTGATTAGCGCGCTTGTCGTGCTGCCACATCTGGAACACGCCCTTGGGACTGGCGAGTGTGTGTCTGGCGCGGGAGCATCTCGTTGTGTTCAGGATGACTGCGATGTTGGGGCCAACACGACCTGTGGAACCCAGGACATACGATTATTTGTGTTTGTTTGTTGTTTAACGCCGAATCAGACAATCCAGTGGTTGACATCATGAGCATCGATTGGGATACGATGACATGCATCAATAAAGTCAGCGAGTCTGACCACCCGATCCCGTTAGTCGCCTCTTACAACAAGCATTGTTACCCGTATGTTTAAGGGGAAGTAACATACGAACTACATTCGTCACCACTCGTCCCTTTCCGTAACTTGTCCCGGAATAACACGAGTTGGTCACGAATGATACGAACTACAGTCCGTTTTGCTCCAAAATGAGAACGATGAATTGCAAAATAACTCAAAATCGGGAATAGTCTATTAACTGTCAATACGGTACACGGCAATGAATACCCTGTACCCAACAATTACTGCTGTTTATTCTAATGACTTGAAAAAGCATCATGTTGTTTTGTGTACAAGTTGACATGTTGGACGGAGGGGGACACAGCGGTAGCAGGAACAGCACAAGCACGTGCTACACGTGCTACATAGTATACGTCATTGTTGACTGACAATATGCGCTTCTCATTTGGTTCTTAAGGTGTATGATTTCTTTCAATGTGAAGCAGAAAGATGTAAACCATTTTATGCCATTGTCTGACTCGGTTTGTCGATCATTTCACTACAACTCGAATCGCAGAGTAGCATAAAGTCTCACATGATGGGGTAGCCTAGTGGTAAGTGGTCGCCCGAGATCTAAACACGAGATCGATTCCCGTGTGTGTCAGCATGTGAAAGGCCAGGAGACCCAAGCAGAACAGAAATGAATATATAGAACTGCGCCTGTGAAATATTGTACCAAACCAAACACTAAAAACGTTCTTTTGGGGGTTTTAGATTAAATTTTAAAAGCCGAGGTGAGGTGAAGTGAAATTGGGTTTAACGTCGCGTCCAAGATCATTGCACTTATATGTGCATGCACGTGTGTGTGTGTGGCTGCTTGTACTAGTCCGGACTAATGCCGATTTATAGTGCTAGCTCACTGAGATACCATGCCGCAGTTTAACATGAATACCCCACTCAGACACAGTATACTGACTCCGAGCCGACCAGTCCTTGTTTTAGACCCTTTATGCCGAGCACCAGACAGGGTAACAACAAGTACCTTCTTTTAACGTCTTTTGGTATGACGCGGCCGGGGATTGAACCCCGGATATTCCGCTCTCCGGGCGGACGCTCTACCACTAGACCACGGAGGCGGTCATTTTACAAGCCAAGAACTGCAAATCATCCAAAACAAGTTTGAGCCATTGGCTGAATTCTAAACAAGCACATAGTCTGCATATGACCTACTAGCCTACCTTTGACTGAGTCGGTAAGACAGCCTAGTGGTCAGAGCGCCCACTCGTAAAGCCGAGGGCCCGAGTTCGATTGTCCAGGGATACAATGTGTGAAGCCAATTTGGGTTTCATCAATGTGATAATGCTGGAATATTGTTAAAAGCGTCGTAAAATGCCCCTTAACTCCCTCACTGACCTACCTGAGTGTATGTGCAAGGAGCAGCAGCCCCACAGTAGAAACAACAAGCCTCTCATCCTCCCTGCACAGCGTCCGCACACAGTATGCACGCTCCACGACCAGTGCAGGCCGGTCTCCTGGGGTCCGCCACCGCTGGTTGCCGTAGTTACCAACCAGTGCACACCGGAGCAGGATTCACAAGCACGTAATGTGTCTGATTGTGCGATTCTGTCATTAAATATTGATAGACCCTTTCTGTTTTATATAATAAAACCTAATAAAGTGATCACCCGCAAAATGTTTGACCCCGAGAAATGTCATGGTTAATTTCATACATAAATCGCAGCCAGTTTATAAAAAGACAGTTGCTTGATATTTGGTTTCATATTTTACTGAAAAACGTGTATATTGAAGTTACTTTATTTTCGCATTGACTCTGAATTCTGCAGAACATATACGGTGCCTGCCCCAGGGAAACGGATCTATGTTTATTGATATAAGAGATTGGGATCTGTGGCCGTCCCGGGCGAAGAGCTTGCTTCCAGGCTCTCGTTACTGTCACACTGTCCCCATAGTGTGGTGGTCATACTCACATATTGATAAAAAAAACACTCTTCATATGTTCTGATTGACTAATGTTTCACGGTCTTGTGTCAATGTTTCTTGGACAAGTTTAAAGAAGAAGTTAGAGTGTCTTGTAATTATGTGGATAGGTCATTCATGGCGAACTCAAGTACAAGATACACCGCGGTAGATAGACAGATCATTGTACGCAATTCTGTACAATGTTAACATGGATAGGATAGCTACAGATGGAGAGGGGTGGGTGAGTGGGTTGTCTTGATATAGGGGTACACACGTTGTACAGACGGAGTGGATGGATGTGTGGGTTGTCTTGACATAGGGGTACACACGTTGTACAGATGGAGTGGGGTGGATGTGTGGGTTGTCTTGATATAGGGGTACACACGTTGTACAGACGGAGTGGATGGATGTGTGGGTTGTCTTGACATAGGGGTACACACGTTGTACAGATGGAGTGGGGTGGATGTGTGGGTTGTCTTGATATAGGGGTACACACGTACAGATGGAGTGGGTTGATGTGTGGGTTGTCTTGTTTTAGGGGTACACACGTTGTACAGATGGAGAGGGGTGGATGTGTGGGTTGTCTTGATATAGGGGTACACACGTTGTACAGATGGAGTGGGGTGGGTGTGTGGGTTGTCTTGATATAGGGGTACACACGTTGTACAGATGGAGAGGGGTGGATGTGTGGGTTGTCTTGATATAGGGGTACACACGTTGTACAGATGGAGTGGGGTGGGTGTGTGGGTTGTCTTGATATAGGGGTACACACGTTGTACAGATGGAGTGGGGTGGATGTGTGGGTTGTTTTGATATAGGGGTACACACGTTGTACAGATGGAGTGGGGTGGGTGTGTGGGTTGTCTTGATATAGGGGTACACACGTTGTACAGATGGAGTGGGGTGGATGTGTGGGTTGTCTTGATATAGGGGTACACACGTTGTACAGATGGAGAGGGGTGGATGTGTGGGGTTGTCTTGATATAGGGGTACACACGTTGTACAGATGGAGTGAGGTGGATGTGTGGGTTGTCTTGATATAGGGGTACACACGTTGTACAGATGGAGAGGGGTGGATGTGTGGGTTGTCTTGATATAGGGGTACACACGTTGTACAGATGGAGTGAGGTGGATGTGTGGGCTGTCTAGATATAGGGGTACACACGTACAGATGGAGTGGGTTGATGTGTGGGTTGTCTTGATATAGGGGTACACACGTTGTACAGATGGAGAGGGGTGGATGTGTGGGTTGTCTTGATATAGGGGTACACACGTTGTACAGATGGAGAGGGGTGGATGTGTGGGTTGTCTTGATATAGGGGTACACACGTTGTACAGATGGAGTGAGGTGGATGTGTGGGTTGTCTTGATATAGAGGGACACACGTTGTACAGATGGAGTGAGGTGGATGTGTGGGTTGTCTAGATATAGGGGTACACACGTACAGATGGAGTGGGTTGATGTGTGGGTTGTCTTGATATAGGGGTACACACGTTGTACAGATGGAGAGGGGTGGATGTGTGGGTTGTCTTGATATAGGGGTACACACGTTGTACAGATGGAGTGAGGTGGATGTGTGGATGTCTAGATATAGGGGTACACACGTTGTACAGATGGAGAGGGGTGGATGTGTGGGTTGTCTTGATATAGAGGGACACACGTTGTACAGATGGAGTAGGGTGGATGTGTGGGATGTCTTGATATAGAGGGACACACGTTGTACAGATGGAGTGGGTTGATGTGTGGGTTGTCTTGATATAGGGGTACACACGTTGTACAGATGGAGAGGGGTTGATGTGTGGGTTGTCTTGATATAGAGGGACACACGTTGTACAGATGGAGTGGGTTGATGTGTGGGTTGTCTTGATATAGGGGTACACACGTTGTACAGATGGAGAGGGGTTGATGTGTGGGTTGTCTAGATATAGGGGTACACACGTTGTACAGATGGAGTGGGGTGGATGTGTGGGTTGTCTTGATATAGGGGTACACACGTTGTACAGATGGAGTGGGGTGGGTGTGTGGGTTGTCTTGACATAGGGGTACACACGTTCTACAGATGGAGAGGGGTGGATGTGTGGGTTGTCTTGATATAGGGGTACACACGTTGTACAGATGGAGTGGGGTGGGTGTGTGGGTTGTCTTGATATAGGGGTACACACGTTGTACAGATGGAGTGGGGTGGGTGTGTGGGTTCTTGATATAGGGGTACACACGTTGTACAGATGGAGTGGGGTGGGTGTGTGGGTTGTCTTGATATAGGGGTACACACGTTTTACAGATGGAGAGGGGTGGATGTGTGGGTTGTCTTGATATAGAGGTACACACGTTGTACAGATGGAGAGGGGTGGGTGTGTGGGTTGTCTTGATATATGGGTACACACGTTGTACAGATGGAGTGTGAGCCCGTTACTCCAGCAGCGATGTGTGGGATTCACCCTCGGTTTTGACTCAATGATTACACATCCCTATCAAGAGACAATCTCCCAGGCTGGGAGTTAATCCTGGTAATAGTCAGGTCACATGGCCTAGGAACATGTTTAGCGTCTGTTCACATCCTGTCTGTATCATATCATATTACCATAGGTCTGTAGGCCTACGACACATTTTATATGTTGAATTAAATGCTACAGACTTTGACTTTATGATATTGTGACCGTATTCGACTTAATAAGCGCCTCGCTCTAATAAGAGCCCACGGCGATATTTGCTAATATATTGGCAAGAAAACAATCCCAATTAGCACCTCTTCCGATTGATCAATGTACACGAGACTTATTTATTCGTGTATACGCACTTGTGTGTTATATGCACCCTTAATTATGGGCAATTACATTCTGGACAAATATATCTGTCGTATATAATACGCACAGACTTTTCTTTTGTATCATTTCAGGTACACAGACGTAGAAATTTACGATCTTTCACCAAACTTATATTCTCATAAAAGCCCCCTATTTCTTATTTGGAGAGCGCCCTGTGTGCTTATTACGTCGAATACGGTAATAGATTATAGGGTGGTGGGGATGGCAGAGAGAATCAGTTGAGGGTCACCAGTACATTGGTGCATCAAAAACCTCTGACAACCCACCCACCCCTAACTCCACACCCCAAACACACCCACCCTGTAATAAATGGCCGGTCCCTAAGACGCAACCTATGCTTGCAGTAAATGGCGATTATGCTTGACGTAAAAGGCGCTTAGGGGATCGGGTGGTCAGGCTCGCTGACTTGGTTGATGCATGTCATCGTATCCCAATTGCGTTGATCGATGTTCATGATGTCAATCACTGGATTGTCTGGTCCAGATTCGATTACTTACAGACCGCCGTCATATAGCTGGAATATTGCTGAGTGCGGCGTGTCACAACAAACAAACAAAATCTTACAAATGCCTTTTGTATATTCTACCACACTGCCAACCTTCATACTCGTATCCATACACGTAACTGATGTTTTGAATTTTATCATGGTCCGTAACTGAATACGGAATTACGTGCGTTAGTGAGTGAGTGAGTTGGGATTAACGCCGCTTTAAACAGTATTCCAGTTACATCACGGCGCGTCAGCTTGATGTGGTAGGGAACAATAGAGGTGATGCATGACAGCGATGTTTACAACTTTAGTTTCCACGTGTGGGCGGACAACGGATTCAAGTAAAGGGTGAATCTGGAGCTCGAACCTTGGATCAGAGAAACCTGACACGCCTGAGCCAGGACGTAAATGCTGCAAGGCCATTTCCGGCGCCGTAGACGACTGAGTGACACGTGCCTCCATGCCCCTGTGACTCGCTGCGCTGCCTGTCGGCTATAATACTGTGATTGTAACAGGAAAACTAACGGATATTCCAGTGTTAACAATAGGGGGCTGTGGATAGTGGAGTACCTGAGTGACACACACTTTAACACGTACTACCAACATGTATACAACATTACTTGTGAAATAAATACCAGTGACAAGTACAGTTAGAGAATGAACACCACCCAATATTCAATCCCTGACATGTATGTTATATCACAGTGAAAGGGTTGCGGGGAGCACAAACGCCTACATTGACCACACCCAATACGCCGACAGAGACAGGGACACGAGCCATGGTGGTTTCGTAGTTGACGTAACGCTCTGTAAAGAAACCTGGGCCACACAGCGCCATCTTGACACCCAGAGAACCGGTTCACTTACCCTCAATAGACAAATATGTTGCGTTTGAGCGAATGTTTCGAGTTAAAGTTTTGCTATTTGTATTGACGGGGGTGAGGTGAAATGGGGTTTAACGTCGCGTCCTAATTTTTACAGTTATATAGCGACATGTGTGTGTGTGTGTGTTGCTGCTTGCACTAATCCGGACTACTGCCGATTTATAGTGCTATCCCACTAAGATACCATGCCGCAATTTAACATAAATACCCCACTCAGACAAAAAATACTGACCTCCAAGCCGACAAGTCGTTGTTTTATAACCTTAATGCCGAGCGTTGGGCAGGGTAACAACAAGTACCATCTTTAAACGTCTGTGGTATGTCGCTTTCCGGGAGGACGCTATACTATTAGACCATGACCGCGGTCTATTTCTATTGACACCCAGGAGAGTATCATTGAAAATATAATTTTACCCCTGAATGCAAAGAAATGTCTCCCTCCGAGTGCCAGTCAGGTTACCAATGCACCGTATGTTAAGAGGGAGGGTATTTGAGATACATACTACATAGTTCAATGGTTTAACATGTCGGTGAGTGAGTGAGTAGCTTTTAACAATGATCCATTATGGCGGGCATCTCGGTAACGGCTTCACACATTTACCAGTATGGGATTCGAACCTGGAACGTCAGTGCTTTTCTCATTGGTCTATATCTCACAACCTAAGAACCAATTAACCAACACATCTACTCACTCATTCACCTCACATGTTCTCTCGTCCACTCACTCACTCACTCACCCATTTCACGCGATCACTCGACCACTCATTCGCCCACTCACTCGCCCACCTCACAAGCTCACTCACACTGCACATCAACTTGCAGATTTAAACCCTTTGTCCTTTAAATATCAAAACCCCTGTACATCTGACCGGACCTGTGAAGATCCGGGGTAGAATAGGTCTTCAGCAACCCATGCTTGCCATAAAAGGCGACTATGTTTGTCGTTAAAGGCGACTAACGGGATCGGGTGGTCAGGCTCGCTGCCTTGGTTGATGCAGGTCATCGATACCAATTACGTGGATCGATGCTCATGATATCAATCACTGGATTGTCTGGTCCAGACTCGATTATTTACAGACCGCCGTCATATAGCTGGAATATTGCTGAGTGCGGCGTTAAACAACAAAACAACCAAAAAACCATCTGGTCTAGTGGTAGAGTGTCCGCCCGGAGAGCAGAAGGTCCTGGGTTCGATCCCCGCCGCGGCATACCAAAAGCCGTTAAAAGATTATACTTGTTGTTACCCTGTCTGCCGCTCGGCATTAAGGGGCTAAAACCCGGACTGGACTGTGTCTGAGTGCGGTATTCATGTTAAACTGTGGCAAGTCAGTGGGCTAGCACTATAAATCGGCATCAGTCCGAACTAGTACAAGCAGCCACACAAACACACACGTGCATGCACGTCGTTATGTAAATGCAATAATCTTGGACGCGGCGTTAAACCCATTTTCACGTCACCGCATCTGCATGTCTAAATGAGTGTAAGAGAGAATCCACCAGAGCCAGGAACAACTGAACATTCGCCTGAACGGAACCGAGCTACCCGAGGGACGGTTTTCCGAGACATCCCGAACACTCGCGACGAGTAAGGCAGACGACAATATCAGCTAAAGAAGTAACAGGACTACCCACAGTTGAGGAAGAATGGTGGACTTTCGACAACTACTGTGACAAGGTGGGTGACGTCTCGACATACTGGCAACAGCTGTCTAGATGGAATATCGAAGGATAGTTCTATAATGTAGGATTGTTGAATGTCGTTCAATCAGCGGGCAATCGAATGCGTTGGTATTGATCGGTGTCTCTCATGCATAGCGGACTAGCTGCTCTAACGTGGCCTGTGATATTTTACTTCCACTAAGTCACAGAGAACATCGCCTAAACTAGTTTAATGTTCTCAAGACTGTTTAAGGTGCAATTAAAGTATATCTGGCGTCAGGCTTACGTTGCACCTTGAACACAACGCGGTAGACAGCGGATCGCTTGCATCTGCCTGCTTGAAGTGGCTGGGAGTGTCGACAGAGAGTGCAAATACAGGTATGTGGCTGTAAGAAACGGAGTGGTGGCAGATTCTGGGATACACAACAAACAGACAAACATTATCAATAGCTGTCTTGCAGTAGGAGTGAGGGTTTAACCAACAGCAGTTGTGTGGATCTTACAAACAGTAGCTGTGTCTTACCACCAGTAGCTGTAAGTATATTGAAGTCGGAGTAAGGGTTTATCACCAGTAGCTGTGTCTTACCACCAGTAGCTGTAAGTATATTGAAGTCGGAGTAAGGGTTTATCACCAGTAGCTGTGTCTTACCACCAGTAGCTGTAAGTATATTGAAGTCGGAGTAAGGGTTTATCACCAGTAGCTGTGTCTTACCACCAGTAGCTGTAAGTATATTGAAGTCGGAGTAAGGGTTTATCACCAGTAGCTGTGTCTTACCACCAGTAGCTGTAAGTATATTGAAGTCGGAGTAAGGGTTTATCACCAGTAGCTGTGTCTTACCACCAGTAGCTGTAAGTATATTGAAGTCGGAGTAAGGGTTTATCACCAGTAGCTGTGTCTTACCACCAGTAGCTGTAAGTATATTGAAGTCGGAGTAAGGGTTTATCACCAGTAGCTGTGTCTTACCACCTGCAGTTGTTAGTATATTGAAGTCGGAGTAAGGGTTTATCACCAGTAGCTGTGTCTTACCCCCAGTAGCTGTAAGTATATTGAAATCGGAGTAAGGGTTTATCACCAGTAGCTGTGTTTTACCACCAGTAGCTGTAAGTATATTGAAGTCGGAGTAAGGGTTTATCACCAGTAGCTGTGTCTTACCACCAGTAGCTGTAAGTATATTGAAGTCGGAGTAAGGGTTTATCACCTGTAGCTGTGTCTTACCACCAGTAGCTGTAAGTATATTGAAGTCGGAGTAAGGGTTTATCACCAGTAGCTGTGTCTAACCACCAATAGCTGTAAGTATATTGAAGTCGGAGTAAGGGTTTATCACCAGTAGCTGTGTCTTACCACCAGTAGCTGTAAGTATATTGAAGTCGGAGTAAGGGTTTATCACCAGTAGCTGTGTCTTACCACCAGTAGCTGTAAGTATATTGAAGTCGGAGTAAGGGTTTATCACCAGTAGCTGTGTCTTACCACCAGTAGCTGTAAGTATATTGAAGTCGGAGTAAGGGTTTATCACCAGTAGCTGTGTCTTACCACCAGTAGCTGTAAGTATATTGAAGTCGGAGTAAGGGTTTATCACCAGTAGCTGTGTCTTACCACCAGTAGCTGTAAGTATATTGAAGTCGGAGTAAGGGTTTATCACCAGTAGCTGTGTCTTACCCCCAGTAGCTGTAAGTATATTGAAGTCGGAGTAAGGGTTTATCACCAGTAGCTGTGTCTTACCCCCAGTAGCTGTAAGTATATTGAAGTCGGAGTAAGGGTTTATCACCAGTAGCTGTGTCTTACCCCCAGTAGCTGTAAGTATATTGAAGTCGGAGTAAGGGTTTATCACCAGTAGTTGTGAGGATCTTACCAACTGTAGCTTTAAGGACTTTACAGGGAACAAAATATGTAACAAGAAAATAGATCACAAATTTTAAATTAAGATCTAATTGAAATATAAAGAATATATTTGGAGACAATATTCATTCAAGACCCATGCTTAAATATTAACGATATCACTTAGCCAAGAATAATAGAATTATCCGTACAAATTGTACGGTAAGAACACTCTGATATTGCAAGACTTTCATTATGTGACTTTGTAGAATAACACAAAAATATCCACACATAAAATTTACATTGAGATAAAACGTAGTAGATTGTGTTTCCTCGGTTATGTAAATAACCAACTCCCGTCACAAGTGTTTATAACCATTCCTGCCACCAAGACCCTCCAAGGGATTCTCTGAACCTTCAGATCGTTGTATCCCCATTTTCTATTCACTCATGATGGGGGCTTAACGCCGCCTTGAGCATCATCTCATCGATGTCATGGGGGAGGCAAGTTCGAATTCGAAGTGATGCAGGTCTTAGACGGTTACGACTTTGGTGAAACCCATGTGCACGTGTGTGGTGCTGACAAACCCAGAAACAATCAGGGCGAAGCTGAATTCGAACCAACGATCATAGGTTTCTGACACGCCTAAGGAACGCAACTCTGCACAGTGAATTGCGACGCCTTAGACCTCTGAAACGTTTATAACTTTGTCGTAAGGATTAACATGGCGTTGTAACCGGCTGTCTGTTATACCCACAGCTGCATCAGCCCATTTCATAAACCTCACACGCGTCTGTGTAACTCCGTGAGGGTTCTTTTAAATGGTTGAAAGCCCCCTTAGAGTGCATTGGTTTAAATGTAATCACTGGCAGTCTGGCTCACAATTTTTGTAATCCCAATGATTGATTGTAAACCCTCCTACGTACAAGGAGTTACAAAGACTTCTATACTTATAAATTTGTACATGGTGTTTCAAACGTCCAATGTTCTAAAATCGAAGTTAGATAATGAAAGTTTCCATTAAAGATGACGGGAATCCGACCTGCAACCTCACATTTCGTGTTCAATTTTGTAACACACTGTTTTCCCCCTGTGTCATCCGGGCAGGTGATGAAAAGTTGTTCAATTTTACATGTCATGAATCCAATTGGTCCATGCTGCACGTGCTTTTTCTCTCTCACGCTTTGATTGAATTCCGTCTTTTCGGCAACACACTTTACTGTTTCACTAAAATGTATCTCGATGTTTTCTTATTATCAAGGAGATGAGTCCCTTTATAAGTTTTATAAGGACAAACCACTTCTCGTAGGCCTCCGAGGTATGTCAGAGTTTACAAACTCAAATAATGCCTAGGAGAAATGGTTTTACTTTTACATATAACATGCTATCCTACAACCTCCAGACAGTGTAGCGTGTTTTACCAGTTCGGGCTCAATCCTCCACCACCTCTATTCTACAGTGAGCTGTAGCACAATGACAGGGACATCATCCACAGGTCGAGAATAACATTAGGAATTCCATCTATTCACGATTGATACAGCTGTTTTATTCACGGGCACACATGCACAAGCGTTGTAGCAGTCAGGAACCTCAAGGCTCCCATTGAGATACTACAGTAACCAGATACATTGTACCTAACAAAGAGGAAGGAGGCACGTGATGGTATTTGCAATGTCCTTACTGACTTAATATTACAAAAGAACTGGTGCGTGTTATAGACAAGCATATACTGACGTAGACGTGTACTTATCCGGTGTATATCGCTATATCTCACGGCATGACATAAACAATGTTATAGCCCGGTAGCCCGGGTGGGGTTCGTATCACTCTGTATTCTCAACACAGGCACGCCTTAGGCAAGGAATTCTTTACGGGGATATAATAAAGGTCATGCCCCATTGGCTACAGCCTGGCAGGGGAACATAACGGCTTCTCTGGAATGACCCAGAAGATATAATGTCGGACTCATAACTAATATTATGAAACGATGTGCCTCCGGTGTTTGCGATAATGTTCTAGTGCACGGTGACAGGTGATACACTTCGTGATAATTATGCAACTTCGTGATGTTAGTCGTGATAACCCTCATGGGGTGTATGTCATTACAAGTCGGACTCTGCTTCTCAGGTTAAAGTTTGTCAATTGTTTTGTTTCGTATTAAGGAAAAAACGTGGAGGAACATTGAGTAATCTCTACTGTTATCACACTGGCGTCTGGGCTAAAGTTCTCCTCGTCGGCTAGCGAATGACACTGAGATAGGTTAATCGACATGCACACTCGAAACAAATCCCTGGAGCGAACATGCAATGAAGTGAAGGTATTCATTTAGGCCTTCGGGCTTTTTGAGTGGCTGCTTTAAGAGGACTATTCTTCGCTAAATGGTAAACTCGGGAACATACGCTGTATTGTGATAACTCTATTTATATCTATATGCATTTTATTTATTTATTTCTATATGCAGTTGATTTATTTGTTTCTTTCTGTCTTTATGCTTGTATTGTTTCTCTATTGACGCATTGTTATTACGGTCTTGGAGGAGTACGCGACTATGCGTGTCGCGAGAGGCGACTAACGGGATTGGGTGGTCAGGCTTGCTGACTTGGTTGATGCATGTCATCGTATCCCATTTGCGTGGATCAATGCTCATGATGTCAATCACTGGATTGTCTGGTCCAGACTCGATTATTTACAAACCGCCGTCATATATAGCTGGAATATTGCTGAGTGTGGCGTTAAACAACAAACGAACATAAATACTTTAGGCATGGCAGGCTTTTTCCTTGTAAGGTCACCTATTCTATCGAACATTAATTGCCCACTATAACGTCAAAGACAGAAGGTAATCTATTGTTTAGTTATATATTTGTAATGAAATACTGAAGGCAAAATGTTCATAAACTTTCAGGGAAACTGTATACCTCGTTCCACTGCGCTCCATCTGCCTCTGTAATGTTCACGTTAATATCAATGTCATTCCACTCGACAACCTGCGCATGTTCGACCCTTGCAATATGAGATACAATAGCTGCTGTAATCTATTGACGTACAGCCGAGGCATGAATATTTCATCACAAATGTTGTACCTGCATAACACCTGCAATTTACTACAGGACGCCACAGTAAGATTACATGGCAGGAAAAGCACGTCGCGCAATGGAACATGACGGTTTACGATAGATCTATGTGCAATGGATGCTGTACATGCTATATGTGTTTACAATAGCCACATTTAAGGTAACAATGTCTTCTGTCAGTTGTGCGTTTCCAAGTTCTCTAAACGAAACTTGCGTGTTCATGTACATTTCTTGGAGCGGCGGGGTCCTTATTTCACACTGGAAAGAAAAGACAACAGATGGTTAATAGATTCTGAACTTGTGTGCAGACATCAGAAGAAGTTTCAGACAACCCGATTCTTCCATATTACTATAGTTAATCTGCGATGCTATCATATAGTTACCTAGTTTGTTACTTTGTTGGTTGTTTATCACCGCTCTCAGAAATATTCCAGCTATATGACGGTGGTCTGTAAATAATCGAGTCGGGACCAAACAATCCAGTGACTGACATCCTGAGCTTGGATCCATGCAATTGGGATAACATGACATGCATCAAAGAAATCAGCGAGCTTGACCACCAGATCCCATTAGTCACCTCTAACGACAAGCACAGGTTCTAATGAGTGGGTTAAAATTTAACGTCCCACCCGCATTGTTTCAGCCATCAGCGACTTAGGCCTATACTTCGAAGGAGCTTCGCAAATATAGTCATATAGAAGATTTGGGTGTTCCTTAACTTCTTTTAAGTAGTATATAGTTTCAGATAGACAAGTAAATGATTCCTTGTAGTAAATGGGTGTTAAATGAGACGTTCTTAAGACATCGTGTATTATTAGATTCAAACTATTTAGCTGACCAAAAACGGGGTCAAAACAGGTTGATTTACAGTGAACGTAGATGTATACTTATAAGAAGAGGGAACCATAGGACAAATATGTTCATATACTTATAGTAACCTACTTTAATGAAAATCTGTTTTTAGTAGATGTATGAACTGTTTAATGCATAAGTACATATTACAGAAGCTAATCGGAATTGCCTAATGATTGTATTACTCCACCATCTATAGGCATCGTGTCCCAGTTCCTTGGATCGATGCTCATGATGTCAATCACTCGATTGTCTGGTCCAGACGCGATTATTTACAGACCGCCGTCATATAGCTGGAATATTGCTGAGTGCGGCGTTAAACAAAAAACAAACAAAACAAACAAACCATCTATAGGAATATGGGTCTGTAATCCTTTATTTCTCTATACTTTCGTATCATGGACAAGATGAACCGAGGGGTAGTGTACACAGCCTACCGTTTTAGCCATGTATTTGGTGGCGCAAGTTAACTTAATTGATAGTTAAGCTGATCGGTATCTAACGAGGAACAGCCAATGATAGTCCTATAAAATATGTTGTGTGTGATTTCTGTATGAAAGACTTAACGACGTTTCTGTCAAGCTGTCAACTCAATAACCCACAACTGCATATTGATTGTGACTTTGAATGTATGTCTCTCTCTATATATGTCGTATATATATTGACTTTTTGTTATATGCATATCGTATAGGTTTATTAGGTGATATAGAGACAGATTGCCGATAGGGCGTGTTCATATGCATATATTCATGAAGGTTTTAAAAATAATATAGTCATATTAATGGCTTGGGTTACGTAATGTAGTTTAGATATCTGGATCTGCTGTGCACTTGTTTGGGGATATTTAAACTTTAATGGAGTGTAACACACAAATTGTATGCACAACCTATTGAAACCTGTGTGGTATTTTATATGTTTTTGTTGTTCGGGGATTAAAGGTATGTACACGCCATGATGCTGGTAGAACGCGATCACAACATGTGAAGATGACGAACTTAAGAATCAGTCATGTATTCACCTACAAAATATTGTTTCATGTACACCCCACGCCCATCTGAGCCACGCCCCCACCTGAATAACATGTGATCACATATACACAATACGTAGCGCTTTTATGATGATGCGCCGTGAAGAGCGCCATCCGCTCATTCACTGAGGCCCGAGATGCAGTCTGTCGCCGCCGCCATCAAACCGCAGCCTTCTGACATCGCGCTGGAAGACACGCCGTATATATACCGGTTATTTATAGCTGATATTTCCCCACCAATGGCTCTGTATGAAAATCCTGTTAGTGAGGGATCCCATGCTTGCTGTTAGCTGGTGTGGCGGGTGGACGGGTAGCCAGTGAGGTAAAGAGCTCCTTTGTTGCAGAACCGCTTAGTCTCCCGGTAGTTAGGCCAGGCACATGATCTTCAGTGAAAGGCATTCACCATTCACCATTCAACATGTCCTCGCGCGACGACAGTAGGTTAGCAATACGACATTGCCATGTGGATATTAGTATTTATCGACGGCATAGAGAACACAGATTGTGAAGGTATTGACTGATAATATTTGAGGCTTTAAGTTTGTGTTGAATAGTATGTCTTAAAAACCATGAGAAAATACACAACGATTCTTTAAATAGACATTACGACGTCATTAGAAAGATCAACCATTTGATCTGGTGAGTTGACATTATTCTAAACTGAAGTTCTTGGAGTGATTCCTCATGCTATTGTATTAACCTGTTCTAAGTTAGCTTGTATATCTACGTCTATGTTTATGTTCTGTTTCAGTGTCATTCAATTATCAAAATGTTCAATATATTTATATTTTGAGTCAGTATTGGGGTACTTTAGACACGCCCACAATGGCAATCACATTGCCAAGATGTTTGTTTATACAGTATACAGGCAGGGTTGGGTAATGCACTATTCATGTATGAATCGTACGAGGTTAGAGTCCACAACGTTTGAAAATGTCTTTTCAATAGTGTGTTTGCCTGATGTATTTCTGGGTTGTCTAAAGGACGTAATGCACTGCATTGTCACCGTGTAAGTACAAACTATAAACATCTATTTAAACCTTGCCATGTCTGTACAAGATCGGACTGTGCCAACTGCAGTGAAGATTGTGTGTGGGGCTAGGTTCACGCACATCAGAAGGTTTTATGGAGGACGTTAGAACATCATTCAAGTTATATCCAATGTTACTATTTATCTAATAATGAGTACCACTATACGTGGTACCAATGACACCATCTAGACCTCGACTGGATTTGAGCCAGTCTCGCTTCAAGATTGATATATTTTTTATTCTTACACACTTACAGTGCTTGAAAAGTAAACGTTTTTTTTATAATAATTCAGTAATAAATAGCAACGTCTTCATTTTATAATCAGATTCTAGAATTGCAGGATGTCAGGACGAGGCCGCGTAATGAAGCAAACCAATCGAAGCTTCTGTTGAGTTGTGTATTGACTGTATCATTCACAAGTAATGAAACAAGCCATTGTCCTATATAGATCTATAAAAGAATTTCTAATGACTCGGACTCGAAAGCGTAAACTGTTGTATTATCAAGAGTTGGTCCATAAAACTCAAAGTCTGCGGAGTATTGGGAAATTCCGCCTCGACTTTGCCTCAGTTCAGTGATTTCCTACAAATAAGAAAGCAGCTAAATTCTGACATTCCACGTCACGTTCACGTCAGTTGTTATCTGGCCGCACCCAGGATACTACTCAGTTACTTCTCCCCAGGGGACTATAGCGTGAATAACACAGGGATATGGGCTTTATCAGCTGATATCGACACAAAGACGGTACGTGTTTTCACTGATGTTATCTGACAACAAGTTGGCACGTCAATAGGATATGAATCAGTATGGCTTACGGTTGTTGTAGGGATTCACAACAGTTTTGGTATCTTAAGTCATATTGTCATGGAAGTAGCGTATATGATGCTCGGGTAAGTAATTCAAGTCGTGTTATTTCGCAGTGGAAAAGGAAGTACACATGGCGATATGTTATATACATATATTGTGCTGTGGGAAGTCAACTTGGCTGAGATACCAGTATCTCTGAGGGACTGACGTTTTCATTCCAGGTAACAAGTAACTGCTGTGTTTTGTTTTGTCAAAACCTCAGTTTAGGTACAATATTAGTCACAAGATCACAGTGTTTTCATAACATGTTCAGTTGACATCTTTAGTTTCGTAGTCAAGCCAATTGTTCTAAAAATGTTACCGTGTGAATGTTGACTGTTTACCCGGTAACAAACTATTATTGTCCTTTTCGTCTTTTATTTGTCAGCGATCACGTTAAATAAAATATCATGATCACAACATTATACTGTCGTATCTTAATATTGATACAATGTCCGTTATCCAGTGTATTACAATATCACGTATATATTTTGTTGAAAAAAGGGGGCAGAAGGAATGTGAAAAGTTTGTTTCATACCACATAATTTAGTTACATAACTGAATACAACCTGAGTGTGTTTGTCAGTGTGGTGACATACCACACACACGTCACTCATTGGCATGTATGAGTTTAGTAGGTATATATTGAACACAGCAGTGTGTGGTGTGTATATTCCCTTGGTGTTTCTGCGCTCTGTATATATGTGTTGGTCCGTGTTAGTCCTTGGCGTCAGCACCGTTTGGCAGGTAAAGTAACTCTAACAGTGTGTATAAAACAGCCTTGCTGTTAGCTTGACAAGTGAACTACGGAGGCACGTCTACTGTGGCAGCCTCGCCACGCTCTACTTCAGTCTCTCTTATAGTCCGCTTCTCCCGAGGTCATAATAACAACTTGTATTCCTTCTTTATAGGCTACCGTCCAACTAACTTGTATTCCATTCTTACAAATGTAATGACGTCACAGTAGCACACTGTTTCACAATGTATACGACAGAAAAACTTGAAACCGAGCCAAAGCAGGATGTTTATGTTGTTATTCAATGTCTGTTTAACAAATTTATGTAGGTTAGTTTTTATTATGTCCCTGGCGTGGGATTTAATAGTTATGCCTGAATATAATTGGGAACAGGTAACCGTTTGTTTGTTTGCTTATTGAACGCCGCCCTCAGCAATATTCCAGCTATATGACGGCGGTCTGTAAATAATCGAGTCTGGACCAGACAATCCAGTGATTGACATCATGAGCATCGATCCACGCAATTGGGATCGATGACCTGCATCAAACAAGTCAGCGAGCCTGACCACCCGATCCCGTTAGTCGCCTCATACGACAAGCATAGTCGCCTTTTACGGCATGCACGGGTTCCTGAAGACCTATTCAACCCCGGATCTTCACGGGTGAGACAAATTAAGTGATTTGTCGGATGTCCAGAGACGGATGGATACCCTCCTAGCTGCATGTGCACTTGTTTATATACAAGTCAGTTATCTTTTGCACATCGGGACTGCACCCGGATGCCCTGACTTATGAATAGACTATCTTACACCCTCCTGTACGAGGCGTGATGATGTAGTTTTAAAAATGTTGCCATGATGTCATGATTGCGCAACTGGGTATGGGAAGTCCTACCCTGACAAACAGGAAGACAATACACGTGCTCCCGTTGTAGTGACACACACAGATGCATGATTGTACAGGTAATCAGATAACGCAGCCGAGGGAGTCACGATCAGACAATTGCTGCTTGGTCATGAATACGACCAACTAAAAGCAGGTGAAGCTACTGCAGTTGTGCATTTTCTCGGAGTCTGTTGATCTTGTGCTTGTGGATGTGCATGTTACGGTGACTCGAACGTATGTCAACATTTGCCATTGTTGTTTATATGCCTGTGGGGTGTTGTGCACTTGTAAGGCGTTTCAAGAGGACATTAAGGATTTCAGTATATATGTCAAACACTTTGTAGTCGCGATTGGTGATGGGTGAGTAGTTGTCCTATTTCAGCCATTTCTCTACCTTCACTGATGTAAGTTTCTGCCATAAAGATGTGCTGAATCTGGTGAACTTAAGGCAGACTTGGTCGTATGTTATTTGAAAATTAAGTCTTTATTTTCTTTATCTTTCCAGGTATTTTTGAATAAGTGAGTCGACCACAACTTCAAGATGGCGATGAACCGTGGTCCGCACGTGCGTGACTTATTTATTGGACAATCGTCTGCTGGCTTTGAGTACGAAGGTAAAGAAGGTAAAAAGAAATACAACTTGAACGGCAAAGGAAAAAGTGGTGGGTTCTCCCAACTGGGAGCCTACAAACCTAAAATACTCTCCAATGATGGGATTGGGAATATTGCGATTGACAACAGCCCTAAACCTGAACATAGCGATAGAGACAAAGTTGGAAAGGTGAACAAAGCTTTCATCATCGGTGACAAAGATATTCCGATGACAATTGAACCATCTGAGAACATTTACTCAGAAATACAGGAAACATACACTGCCTCTTCCTCGGATGCTGGCGACCAGTTCCGTTCCAACCCCATCTTTAACGACTCTGCGACATCACCGACGTTGCACCATGGAAACGTGTACCGAGAGCAAAGGTCCCAATCTAGACCGAGCGTTCCGTCGGAGAGGATTGGCGGCATGGATATCCCTGCTCCTGATTACGAAGAGGAAGAAATGACTCTGGACTTTGAGGGTGATGATCTAGCCCACGCCAAGAGAAGGAGCAGTATATATAAGGAGTTTCCTGGGGAGGACTTCTCTCGGTACCTCTCCGACGATGAGGAGGAATATGAATTCGATCGCCCCATCCACACAGTTAGATCAAAACCACCAGTTTCACGAAAGGTTCTTCAGAAGAAGGAAAGCAGTAAGTCTCGGACAGAGGCACGGAGAGTCGAGAAGCCTAAACGAGATTCAACAAAGACGTTGTTCAAACAAAATGCGAAGAACAGCGGGAAGACGACATTGAGGTATTATAGCGTTAATGATACCAAGCTGGGTATCGGGGTTGATGGTACGGTACGCAAACAACAGAAGAAGTCCTTACGTGACGGCGTGCCCTACGAGTCCTCCTACGAGTCCTTCTTGCAGTCACGGAATGGCGGCCCGCGGTGGGGAAGCCTAGAGAGCGCGAGCAGCGACAGCGGGCACGAAACCGGAGATGACATTAAACGTGGTGTAAAAGGTCGCGATAAGAACGGAACATTCTGGAAGAAACTCACGATAAAGTTCAAACAAACTGGATATAATCTTAAACATTGATAGTTTGTGATTCGATGTATTGTTTCAGGGAGTAGAACGTGACGGTTACCACTTGAACCCCTTCGTGGATGATTCCAGCACTGCTACCTCCGTGGCGTCGTGGCGTGTACAGTCAGGTACGCTGTTGCAGTGAATGATGTTGCTGCAGATGTACAACAGCATTGACAGTGCATATCAGTGTACTGTACGTGAGGGATGATGTTATGGTGTCTCAGAACTTCACCATGTGATCAGTTTGGACAATTGTTGAAGGAATGGGTAACCACTCGTCCTGTCTCAAAACTTGTGATACCTTGGAGTCAGACGGTTCCAGTTGTTACAGCCGTTGCTGCATTCACGGATGTTGAATAACCACAACATGCCATATAGTATGTGATTGTCGTAGGATATTACGCATTTAGATCCATGTTTTGAAGTAATCATACGAAGCCTCATTTCATGTTCGTCATGCAGAATTTATCAATTTCATCAGCAGGCTTGGTGCGGACACAGAGATATCACAATCATGGTCATAATAAAGTTAAAAGCAGCATTACTTCCCACGTAAGACGTTAGAACTATGAATAACGATTGTGTTTTCATTTCAACGCATATCCTGACTAAGAGACAGTGTTGTATTCATAATACATATGTTCATATTCATCTCATTAACGTCCAGTCTGTATGGGGATTTAACTGTTTATGCAAGAGTGTAGAACGCAGGTCATAGTGTCAGGCCGTCTATCCCAAGATAATGTCCGACATTGTTGAAAGAGATGATCAATTAATTTCTTATGTGGAAATGTAATTACTGCCTACATACCCATTATATCTATCATTCTTCCATACATAATTAAATCTTCTATACAGTCGGTTTCTGGTTGTGTGTCGTATAGAAGAGAATTCCGCCAGTGTATTCCCCCGTCGTCTGCTTCCTGTTCATGGAATGCAATGTCATCTAACTTGTCATATCAGTGTCATATACCCTTGCTTCTTGTCAGAGCCGACAGCACTGATCATTGCTCATGTTTTTCATGAACCAGACTATTTTTTCAATGATGTGTGAGTAGGATAGTGCCTGACTGCGATGTAATTATAAATTGTCAATGCAAGAGAATAGCCTAGATTTTCTGCCGAAACATATTCCACTTGGCGTAACGGGCAAATAGGTGTGGAAATTATAGGGATGGACCACTGAAAATCAGTGATGACCCTAGGTGTTCGCGAAAAGGGTTAGCAAGCATGGCCACTCTTTCACTAATGACAGTCGCATGGACGCCCTGGTGACATATATTTTTATGTACGCCATAAGGTCATTAGGAATGACAAGTGAATTATATGTTGAACGGAAACCAATCAAGGAGTGTCCAAGTCATAGAAAAGTTGCATAATATTTGCGTCAATAACTATTCTATAACAATTGGGTCAATATGAAACACTTTGACATGGTGTGTTCACAACAAGACCACAAACCCAACAATTACATGATCACAAAGCAAACATATCGTAGACGAACCCTTACTTTTTCCTATCAGTATATATTCACAGATTCCACGATGATCCAAAACAGCGGAACATGCGTTTAGCGTTTAAGCCTAGTCGATAAGTAGATATGTCTTGATTTGTGTATTCTTCAATTCATTAATTTTGTTTTGTTTTCAAAATTCAGAATTCTGATCAGTATTGTTAGCGTTGGGAATGAGAAGTGGGTCCGCAGCACACCAGTATCAGACACCAGTATCAGAGGAGCAGCACGTATTGACTGATACCACAACTCTGTTGTCATCTTTCGCTTTCGACCTTCATATGACAATTGCCTTTCCCTGGCGTTAACAAACACGTGCTCTTCCTTTTGAGTGAGTTAATGCTTCACGTCACATCGACAATGCTCTGGGTAATCACTAGCCTAGAAACCAAGTATGTAATATGTATAGTTATGACACTAATCAAAGTGGATAAACAATTGTGTGAGGTTTTTTCGACGAACAGTATATCTGTACTCAATCTATGGTGGGGATGTGTTGATGAGGGAGACATTGAATGTGAGGTTGTTATGATTGTTTTTATATGTGTTTCATATATTTGTACATTGCCACATGTTGTCCCGAGTTGTAAATAATGTATATGCTACCATGCAATAAATTGACCATTTCTATCCAACCATTTGTTTATGTTTCTGAATATGCTACTCCAAAATTTATTGTATTGAATTGCACTGCTGCTTAAGTCACAACACACGTACATATGAATGAATACCTTGGCAATATTGGCAGTGCTAATAGTAAACATCATCTCTACCAACTGTATTAGTTTGAAGGTTTGTTGTTTACCGCCGCAATATCCCAGCTGTATGACGGCGGTCTGTAAATAATCGAGTCTGGACCAAACAATCCAATGACTGATATCATGAGCACTTAATTAGGATACGCTAACATGAATCAACCAAGTCAACGAGCATCCGATCCAGTTAATCGCCTCTTACAGGCATGGGGTGCTGAAGACCTATTTTAACCCGGGTGTTCGCGGATCGAGACTGACTTTGATAAAGATACCAAGGATAATGATACTTGTTCGACAACTCCATGAGATAAGCCGGTTAGGTGTCCTCGAGGACTTTCGCTCAATGACATCGGCAGGAGATCCTCCTGCCTGTTGGACTCAAGCGTATATTATATCAACGGTTGATTAGTATTTTAGATGCGTTAAGTAATTGTATATGGAAGATTATACCGCCCACGCTATGTATGGCGACGATCTTGTTTTCCAGAAACAAGGCACATATGTTTGAGTAACCTGATTGTAAATCCTTGTGTTAATGGTCAATGGGCAATGAAGGATTTTACAACTTGGGTAGTGTCCAAACGCTTTTATCATACTTTTGAATGATCACTTTCCTCGGACCCCCGGGATGACGTAGATGTCACACACCGGATATGGAGGGTTCGGATAGTTCACTATGCAGCTAAGTCCCTTCGTGCGCTAGTCGTGGGTTCGAACCCAATAGAAACCCAGGCGATGATCCTGTGTCAGGACCCTACCCGTGCTCCTGCACTCTCACAATAGTACCGTACATCTTATACCTGTGACATCGTGTGCCTTTCTCCCAACATGCTGATAGAGTGAAGTGCTGTCCAAAGCAGCGTTTTAAACCCGCAGTACTCGCGTTCAGCGAGCATTGGGTATACGCGAGTCTACCTATATCGTATACAAATAGTTAACAATAGTAAATTATTATGATTAGAAAACTATATGTTTATGACAGAATTAGTGACTAATCACATCAAATAATGTTAATCCAGACTGCTTACTGTCCAGTTTAGCGGTTTTCTGGTATATAACGTATAATATTGTACAGTAGCCAAACGGGCTAGGGCGGATAACTTCGGTACCCGGGTCGGGTGGGTACTGAGTAGGACCCGGGTACCCACAGGACTACCCGGACCCGTGGTTAGTCACATGATATATTGTTTAATGACAAAAAGTATCTAGAACTCTATGGTTACACTACAAGTCACGAATGTTCGCATTATTTTCTGACTATACACCCATTTCTTCTGACTTTTCATATCTTTGAATAAAGATTTTACTTGAGTCAACTTCAGTGTATGCATGACCAGAATGTTTCATACATGTATCTAAATACGTTTTGCCAGTGCTATGTTAAAAAATGCACAATCGGACATTTTGTACCAATCTCTTGAGACCTACAGTAGGTACCCGGGTTAGGTCGGGTAATAGGGGGGGGGGGGGTACCCGGGTAGTAAATTCGGACTCGTTCCAGCCCTACTAGCCTATATCACAGAACAAAGATATCTCCAGGATATTGGCCTCGAACCAACAGAATTCGGGTGTCTACATGACTCGGGTGGACACTGTATTTGATGGACGATATATGCATGTCTGCTAGAAGATTTCTTGTGCCAGAGGGGATTTGGGGTTAGTACGTGCATCCAGCGACCTATACTCGTCGTACGAGGTGACTAAATGGATTGGGCGGTCAGGCTCGGTGTGACATCGTACTTCCACGGCGTGGAGCGTTGCTCATATCAGTCACTGGATTGTCTGGTCCAGACTCGATTATTTACAGGTCGTTGTCACATGGTTGTAATATTGCAGCGTTAAACAAGACACCAACAAACAAGATTTATAGATATCTATTTGATTACGGTTTAAGAGCATGTACCGACACGTGACTTACAGTAGACAAATAATCCTACCTTAATGTACTAAAGTCTTGTTATTATTTTAAATTTTTCTTCCGAATTTTTTATATATTTGTTTTGTTTTTATCTTGAAATTTCAAGATGTTACTTTGAAATGTCAAGATACTAACTTGAAATTTCAACTTTATTATCTTGAAATTTCCAGTTAGTATGTTGTAATTTCAACTTAGTATCTTAAAATATCAAGACAAAATTTTTGAACAAATGACCCTAAAAGGCTTCCGTTTTATCTACCAATAGATTGTCAATAAATGGGGTATAAAACCACTCGTACCATAACAATCGCTCGCGCATGATTGCATACGTAGGTTTTCATTCAACTGTGGTGGTATCTGCACTGTCATGCACCAGTTACACCGTCGACACTCTTATAAGACGAGCATTCATGTTGCCTTCATATACTTCCACCCGTGTTGTTCTATCACCTGATGTTTCTCTCCGTCGTGTCACTCAACAAGCAGTACCGCCCTGTGCGAGGACGTCGAACAATAAAATGTAGGCTACATCTATGTACACTGAAAACATACCCAGAGAGAAACCAACGGCATCCATGACATCGTGGTAGTTGGAGTGCTGAGCAAACACAGTCTCGCTACCGCCATATAACGCGGTGTAAATTGAATTATTATCCCATGACAGGGTGAGTCATGGTGGCGGTACAACTCAAAGTGTGACTTAGCCATTAGGTACATTTAGAGAAAATCGATTTTCAACAAAAGTGTTTTAACATTAATTCACTCGGGACAGAATTCTTCTTTTTTTATATTACCCATCGTCCTTTTTCAGAGAACATGAAGGAAAATTTGTTACCTGATTTCAGAGGGATACATCAGCTGAGCTGGCCTGTTGTTGGATGACGTCACATACACTCGTTTGTTCCGTCATCTACAATCAGATGCCATCTTCAAATAATTTTTTAATTTGAAGTTTACACGATATACGGCTTTTCCGTTAGACGAGAGGTCGGTCACATGACCCCGAAATTGACGTTCATAAGTGTATGAACGACACAGTTTGACGTTCATACGTTTTTCACGAGACCGTGTTCTTGAAATGACGTAAACACTGACGGACTACTTCCACATTCCTGGGAAAACCCCTGGGAATTCCCTAGCACGAAAACATACATAAGCGTTCTTTCTGATCATTTAGAACCTTTATTCTTGGTCTCAGCGTTTCAGTATACGTTGAGAAATGTCAGAGAGCGTGACTGCATGATTGTTCACGAATATCCTCGCTGCGGCCTATCCTAATGAACAAACGAAGAAATGCACATCTAAACTATCGTAGTATCGACTCGATCCGTATCTAGGCTGACATTGACCGTCTCCAGCAATCTATGAATTTACCTAAGTGTCTGTTTGACGCATCTTTATTCACCTTTCAATGATCGGCCAGTTGATCAATGATGACTAACACATGTAACCGCCACATGTTCATTAAGAACTTCGGAAATCTCTCCCGTCACGTTTATCGTGTCGGCCATTTTGACGTCTTGTACTTGATGTAAATGTATTACGACGCGCTGTCATTGTGACTGACTTATTGAAGGTAGTTCTTTACAGACCTTTCTCATCTAATGAGGATATGATTTGAATACATATGCTGCGTAAGATGTTTCTGGAGAGCAAGTTGTGCATCCATACGCCCATGTCACCTCTCTTTTTGAGAAACTATTTTACTCCGCGATATTGCTGGTTGTTGTATGGCTCTAAGTATAAACATGAAGTCACACGTACTAACTAAAATTGTGTTTAGATCTTGGCCTACATCATTTGAGGTAAGAATTTGTGATAAAAAAAATTATCATATAATGTGTAGGTTTATCGGCAGGATAAAGCCAACGGATAAAAACGATATCCGTTGGAGTCATATGCTGATAGAGATGCAAATATCGAAGGTCAAGTAGGGACTACTTTTTGTGTTTATAAACAAACATGGCGTCGCCCTTGTCATTCGGCAATCGAGTCAGAATTAACCATCGGGAATCTGGATAAACTACAGAGATAATTGCTATCATAAGCAAAAGAACAGTCTAATATACCTAAAATCAGTGTCTAACTGTGACGTCGCTAAGGCATTTTATAAGTTTTGGCAACTTTGGAGATACAAATTTCGAAACAATTTTGCGAGGGCACTAGCCCTAGCCAAGCGGGATCAGTAGCCATATCTGTGCTTGTAGACCTCTGCGGCTTGAAACCTTTTCCACAAATTAAAATAGTTGGATTTGGCCGAAATATATTTGAATTGTTACCTTGTTTCGTTTTGGCGCTGTGTGTACATCTGATTGCACTTCTAACGTTTTGACAGGACAGGCCGACTGTCAACAACGTCTGATCGTGGCCATGACGTCTCATAGACTAGGGTTAGAGTAGCTTCCCTTTGACAAAGGGCAGTTACTCCAGCGGACAGACCGATGGATTGCCGCGAAATGCAAGTAATTTATGTTGTTGTTATGCGTATGTTTTGCTTCGCCACTGTAAAAAAAAAAGATTTCAGCTGGAACTATATTGGCTACTGTCACTGTCCGACTGACACATCACTTACCCTGTGACGTAATAAATATTAATGCGCGCATTCCAGGAAAACTCGCAACGTTTAGGTAATGTTTGTGAGGGAGGGAAAGCGATTTTCAAGCACAAAATTAAAGAATGACATTATATGATAAAGAGGTTATCACGCTTGTGTGTTTGGGGATGGTAAACATCCTGTATTAGGAATAAACACTATGTATTTAGGCTCGCTAAATACAATGTTTATTCCTAATCCAGGATATTTACCATCCCCAAACACACAAGCGTGATAACCTCTATTTATGAGAATATTTTTTATTGTCGCAAGCTCCGACGTTCATACACTTTGGCCCTCACTCTATGAAGGTTCCAATGCACGCACACAAAGTGAAAGTCAATTCTTAATTGACAGAAGCTGGTGAGATCGCTCAGGTCAACACCACCAAGTTAACTGTTCTTTATTTCCCGATGAACGTCAGTATGTCACGTGATTACCATGAAGTGATTCGCACATCATGGAATTTGTTCAAGTGAGGCACAGTCTTCATCAGCTGATGAACGTCAACAATTACAACTTCAATCCTTAAATGGACCTTTTCGAAAACAATGGAAAGATCAAGTCAATCAGCATGAAGGAAACAAATATAAGGCTCAGCGCGAATTATTGAAAATAGATTCATCTATATCAGACGCAGTGGGTAATATAGTACCAGGGAGAGAGTCAGTGTGGCGGTATACGAAATGGTTATTCTCATATATGTACATATACATGTATAACACTGTGGGTCATTATGGCTTCCTAATTCAATGTGAATAGCCAGTAGCAGTTTTGTTTGTTTGTTGTTTAACGCCGCACTCAGCAATATTCCAGCGATATGACAGCGGCCTGTAAATAAACAAGTCTGGACCAGACAATCCAGTGGTTGACATCATGAGCCTCGATCCACACAATCAGCGAGCCTGACCACCCGATCCCGCTAGTCGCCTCTTACGACAAGCTTATATTAGTCGCCTTTTACGGCAAGCACGGGTTGCTGAAGACCTATTCTACACCGGATCTTCAGGGGTCGAATAGCCAGTCGCAACGGTGAGTAATTAATGGTGAAGGTTGTAAGTATGTACGTTTGGTTACTTGCTTTGATCTGTGTTTCAGCTATATGACGGCTTGTCAGCTTGTTATTAGCGGGACGTGCCAGGCGGTGTGTGACATCAATGTGTACGGCGTCGGTGTACACAGTGCGGGCCTGGTGCTGACAATGGAGCATGGAAACATTATCACGTGTAGGTTTATCATTTTACGAGTCCTGCTGTCATTATACCGTAATATGAGGCTTAGTCACCGATGTGTGTGTTATACCGGGGAGTCGCAGTGGCATAATAACGAATGGTAAATCGTATGCGTCAATGTCAATGTAGCGTTAAGTAATGAATGTATTCATATATTCCGGTGACTTCGGTGTGCCGTCTCATTCTCATTACAATCAGATCTTAGTTCTCGCTACCGTTAAAGTAAGTTTGTTTGGCGGTAGCGAGACGTAAGATCTGATTTTGATGAGATTGTGTGACGTCTCTATGTTCGAAACTTTTGCAAAACCACGTTGGTCCAGACAATTCACCTTGGAGTGAGGGAGTGGGGAACAAACAAGAAATTTGTGTTTGCGAACGTCAGAGGCCATGAACGTGATCTTCCCATACATGGCCGATTGAATGAGTGTACAGCCATCGACAAACGAGGGTTCCCCATTGTAGGCCGCATGGCGAGCTTTGTATGGTAATGTTTGACTGTCAACAACCGCACCGCCGGCATTTCCCTGCTCTGTTGCAGCTGATATGGACTTGTTTTTTGTGCTACTATTGCAGTCCAATTATAGTGTTCCGCGGTTGTGAAGATCAGAAACTTGAGGATGAGTCACTTGCCAGCAATAAGCTCAGCTGGAAGTATACACCTGGGAAGAATTTAACCACACCCAGAAACTTTTCATTGACTAACGAAACAAGTCGGGAAATGAAAGTATTTAACAAATATTATAGTTGGGATAACACGGATATTGTGGAAGCCTCGGTGGCTGAGTGGGTTAGATGAGTTTGTGTTCTGGCGATTAGATGCCTCACTCTGGCAGTGTGGGTTCGAATCCCGGACGGGACTCAACCCCAAAACGTACGAGAATCTGTACTTTACAAATAAAGTGTAATCCCAAATATAACATTTGTTACATTTGACCACTTTCCAAATATCATTTTGTGTTCAAAATTAAAGTAGTGACAAGATCAGCTCGGATTAACGATTGTGATCTGTAAGAACATCCCTCTGACAATAGGCAACCTCTGTCATTGTAAGCTGGGGTCGATGTTAATCACGATATTGTAGCACAACCTAAGGTGATGTTTTCATCCCAAGACAATATCCTGCAGAGTTCATACGACAATTTCATGTGGCTATTTCTGGATAGAAATGTCATTTTGAGTCCTAGATAATACCCGTAGTACAAAGATTCAGCAGTGAATAAACCCTCCAGGTGCCCGTATGACGGTCTCCACCCTGCGTCTCATCTGTGGAAGGTCAAGGTCAGCCACTCCCCATACAAAGCTGCTTCCAGTGCCTGTAGATTGTGTACAGGTGACGTAAGTGCCTGCACACGACGCCCGAGGACAACCGAAATATGCTCCAGCGGATACACGTCTGGACTCGTGGCGTCGTCACAGCGTTGGTCTCGATGTATGCTATCACTGCCTGGGAACAATGGGGAATGACGTTATCATCCACGAAATGAGGTATTGCGGCGAATGGGTGGATGTCGAACAACTGGTTCCAGAACATCTCGGATGTACTCATCACCTGCGAGGCTGCCTTGTATTGTGACCAGGCCCAGATGGCAGTCGTGTGAGATCCGTACTCACGTTATTACCGAGCCTCCCCCATTACACAACTGCCCTGATGTCCCTTGTGCCTCCAAACCCTCGGTCGTCCATTCGTCACATGGAGCGGGGACCTGCTGTCGCCCGAACAATGAATACTCCGCCAAGTTCTCAGATTCCAAGCCCGCCGTGCTGAACACCATTCCAAACGGAATATCTGATGGTGAAATGTCAGCAGTGGGCGAATGATGACTCTCCTGGACGTCTGCCGATGATGTCCTATACGTGTTCATCTCGCCAGGGCTCACGATAGGGTGTCCCAGTATGGTGTCACGGTAGTACTGTCCCTTGCCCTCCCATGGCCGATGGATCACGGCGTTCTGTCCGTCAGGGTGGTTCGACCCAATCACTGAAACACCACCAGGTCATGGTGCCTGATGGCGGACAGTGGATGTTGGTGCCATGGTCCTTGGCACTCCACCAAACACTACCACTCACATCAAGGTAAGCTAGGGTGAATCTGGATTCCTTGGAGAACCTTACGCGTCAAACACTGAATTAATCGTGGCCGTCGAGCC